ACAGTAGTGGTATAGTGGGGTTACTGTAGTGTTATAGTGGGGTTACAGTAGTGTTATAGTGGGGTTACAGTAGTGTTATAGTAGGGTTACAGTAGTGTTATAGTGGGGTTACAGTAGTGTTATAGTGGGGTTACAGTAGTGTTATAGTGGGGTTACATTAGTGTTATAGTGGGGTTACAGTAGTGTTATAGTGGGGTTACAGTAGTGTTATAGTGGGGTTACAGTAGTGTTATAGTAGGGTTACAGTAGTGGTATAGTGGGGTTACAGTAGTGTGAGACCAAACACAGACCAGAGTCAGAAGACAGAGTTTGAGGCATGTACTACCCTGGCTGCTGTTGCTATGGGTGAATAGTGAATACTGCACTGTGCTATCTCATTTAGCGGAGGCATATAGCTGACATTTACAGTAGTGTTACAGTAGTAGTGTTGTAGTAGATTTACAGTAGTGTAAGACCAGACAGACCAGAGTCAGAAGTCAGAGGGTTTGGGGCATGTGAGAAGGAGGCTCATAGTTTTTATTCAAGTGGTGTCATGGCTTCACCCAGGTCACCTGACCCGGAAGTCACCACACCAAATCATGCACACACAAAAATGAAAACATAAACATAAATGGTTGTTTACTCTCTCAACAAGTTGCTCTTTCCCATTTATTGAAAAGAGAAAGCCCATACTGCTGCATGTATTGACATCAGGAGTGAGAATAGTTTTCCAAAACTGTGAAACAAAAATGTCCATTGGGTCAATTTGGTCATTTGTTTAACCAAATGTATATAACATTGTCATTTGGAGATGGTATGCATTTAACATTTTCAAATAAACATGGTGCATGGCATTTGTTCGTCAGACCTAAAATATATATATATATGTATATTGCAAAGGAAGGATTATTTTTTAAATTAAAGAAATTAGAGATATTAAGAAAGAGTAACATGGAATCATACAAATAACCCAACAGCCTTCTAGAATTTATCATGACACAGATAGTTAGTTGTGCAATATCTCTGTCTTTGTCCCAGTGATAGGAGAACTTGGCAATGTGGACATCTGGAAAGATAGATATCTGCCACATTAAGCCCCAGGCATTAGGAGGACATGCAGAATGTTGAACGATCAACCAATAACCATCTGAATCCAGATCAGATCCACGTCATACAGGTACTGTTTGTGTTTCTGGCCACACAGCTTGAAGGTAAACATATCATTTCAAAAGAGCGGGAATAATTCAACAACTAATATAAAGGCTGATACCAACAATCGATGTCTTTCGTACAATGTATTTTATATTGTTCTTAACAAACATTTGTTATCTGTTGACTCACTCAGCATGTAATCCATGCATGTTAATATGGCACATTTCGTGGCAAGCAAACCCCATTAATAATTATTGTTTTACTTTCTTGTAAATCATTGTAAACCATTATCATGTTGGCATCACCTCACTATGGTATGATCAGTCATTAATATGCTGCTATGCACTTTATACAAATCAAAATAAAATTATAGAGATGTATTGAATATAGGCAATATTGACTCATAATCAATAAAAATGGCTTTAACATTGACTCTCAACCCTTAATATCCATGTGCATGTCCACCAGCCACACCAAGAAAATACTAATGTAGTAGCTTAGCAAAATTGTAAAAGAGTGAATTCTCCACCTATACCCAATCATTCACCTCAATAATTGGACAAATGTAGAACCTGGGGCAGTTCTGCCTAAATAAATAATTTGGACGTTGTAAATCAGCTGGATTGTGTCTGTATGGTTTGCCGAAAATAAGTACATTTTTGCTTTGGTTTTGTATTTGTATGAAGTGTACATTAATCCTTAGAGATTGATACATATTTTATAAGGAAAAGGGTTGGATTTATTTCTCAGATGTAAAATGTGCCTACAGGTATAGAAACATTGAAATATCGTTTCTTAAAGGCACATATTCTAAAATGTGTAAAAATGCTAACGCATCTGAGCTGTCGAAAGGCCGTTTTATTCCAAAGGATGAAAACTTACAATATATGTACTGTAGTAGATATAAAGTAGTCTGTATATTTACATATGTATTCCTAGGGTCATCTGAACATTCTAGAACCTTGGATGTTAATGTTACAATATTTTTAGTTATTCTCATTCAAGACAGACACTAGCTATGTTTCCATGAACTTGTCCAGGGATTTTTTGTCGACATTTAGAAAGTTCGCATAGAAAATAGGTGTGACAGTTGCCTGCTACGGTGTGTTTTCATTTAACTATCTTGTCGATAAAAACAGCTGGATGTAATGAAGTCACATTTAAAAAAATGAAACTTTTTTGCAAAAACCTAGTGTTGAATAAAACTGTAGTGGTTGAATTGTTTCCATTACCCATTTAATCAAATTGCTCATTAATACATTGGCGACAGCCTGTGTGCCCTCCCACCAATCTCTTTCACGTCTCAGGTAGCCTGCGAAAGCCAGCATGGATAGAATGCAATAATTGACTAATATTTGCCATATTGTAATAATTATCATGTGCCAACATATCGCCAAGGTCCTTGCCATGGTGAAACTTGCGCTCCTGTAGATCTGAAATAATTGGATGGTAAAACCTGCCAGCCAACCAGAAAAGCAAGGCGAAACAATTCAGGCATTCTCGAAAGTCAGGACACTCCTTTTCCTGAAAAGAAACATTATTTTTATAGTTGAAAAAATTGATTTTGCAAGCAGTAGGCATTTAGAATGAAATGTGAAGTGGAGCTTTATAGTTAACCTACGTGATGACATCACATGTCCCGCGTACCTTCAAAATTATTTGGCAATCATCATTTATTCGATTTATTTATAAAGAAAGTTTGACAAAATGGCACATTTTGTGCTAAACGAATTAATGCCCAGTATTGAATTGTTCCTTCAGAAATCCATCTGGTCATTTTTCACCCATTGATTGCCATTTGGCTGTCATTGAATTTAAATGTTTTGGATTGAACCCAAGGATAACATCACTGTATACATCTCAAATGCCTGTCATTGTGTTCGTAGGCTTGTATATATTCTTAGTGGCACTATTGAAGTTTGGATTCTTGGATTACACCTGTCATCAACATTAACATCCTTATAGAATAGCAGTGGTTCCCTGGCCTGCTTCTCTATGGCTTGATACAGTGAATATCTGCTGTGTGTGTGTGTATGTGTGTGTGTGTGTGTGTGTGTGTGTGTGTGTGTGTGTGTGTGTGTGTGTGTGTGTGTGTGTGTGTGTGTGTGTGTGTGTGTGTGTGTGTGTGTGTGTGGACGTGTTTAACTATCCTTGTGGGGACCAGAAGTACCCACAAGAATAGTAAACAAACAAACATTTGACCAACTGGGGACATTTTGTTAGTCCCCACAAGGTCAAATGCTATTTCTAGGGGGTTTAGGGTTAAGGCTAGAATTAGTGTTAGGGTTAGAATTACGTTAAGGGTTAGGGTTAGGAGCTAGGGTTAGTTTTAGGGTTAGGATTAGGAGCTAGGGTTAGGTTTAGGTTTAGGTTTAGGGTTAGGTTTAAGGTTAGGTGTTAGGGAAAATAGGATTTTGAATGGGACTGAATTGTGTGTCCCCACAAGGTTAGCTGTACAAGACTGTGTGTGTATGTGCGTGTGTGCGTGCGTGTGCGTGTGTGTGTGCGTGTGTGCGGGCGCTCTGAACCCATGCTTCTCTATAGTACAGGAAGCTTCCCTTAGTAAGATGATGCATCTCAATATCCTTTTCCTGGAAAATTAGTACTATTTAAAAAATGAATTAATATGTATTGTTTTGTTTGGCAGGTGCATTCACATTTCTGGGATTTCTTCTGTGTTTTGATTCGGGGAGCAGAACCTAAAGAAGCTATCCATTCAAAACCTGAGAGCAAAGGTTATTGTACAATTTATCTGAATGAAAAATAATGGAAAAGCAAATAAACAGCTCAGCCTACACTATACATAATTACCTTTAAGTTGCTAAATAAATAAAGTATCTTTTAAAATAATTCTTATGATTATTTGCTCAATATTCATTTCAATTGCAAGGCTATTATTATTTTTCTCCATTCATCTATATGCATACCATATCTATATTCCACAGTACATCAGGACATGCACTTATCAACCTTTTCAAACTGGAAAGCCTTAAGATCCTTGCTTATTCCTTTTTACATCCTCATATTTTACATCATCTGAAATCCAGAAAGAAAACATCTACAGACACAAACCATATAATACAAAATCTGCTGTTAAAAAATAAATTAAAAAGTTAATGAAATAAAATAATTATGGCACACTCATGTGATGACATCTAATGCACATGCTAAGATTGGCAACAATATTTTGGCATGATGTTCTTTGAACAAATCTTTTTTTTTTTTTATCCTAGGGTTATAGAAAATAATACCTGATATCATTTCAAATTGTATCATCTCTGTCTGCAGTGACACAATGGAGGAAAAGCACTTAACTGCAATTATTTTAAGTTAAGGTGAAACAGGCATGCTCACTTAAAAAAATAACATATCCCCCTTATAATGCTAAGTGTACATCATTTGGTACATTGTTACCAAGGTGCTATATTATTTTAGTGAGCCGGCAATAAGGAAATGTGTAACAAGATCTGTTGGTTCTGGTTAGTATATCTCAGATGGGCCAATTTCCTGGGAAAATAAGTATCCATGCTTCATGCTTTGAATCCCTCACAAACAAAACACAATTCATGTCCAACAAGTTTTCCTTTTCTTTCCAAAGCTCCTTCCTCTTCAATCAATCCCTGTGAATCGCTTCAATATATTATATCTTTAGACCAACCAAAATAAACAAAATAAAAGTGCTAAAATTAGATTTGGTTAGGAGCAGCATTGGAGATGCATTGTACTTGTATATAAAAAAAGGAAAGCTAGGAGTTCTTTGTGTAGATAGGCCAACCCAGTCTGATGATCTGTTCCAATTCAACGTTTTAGCATGTAGGCAAAAACATTGAAACGCAACATGTAGTTCAAAACACTCTGATGCGCTAGGCTCAGATAGATTTCCTTCTCTTCATGAGTCGGTGATTGTCTGTGAAGCTGTGGAGGCCTGGGGAGACTGAGCTGATGGGCGAGGGGAAGAAGCTGTTCTTTAGGGTGCTGGGAGAGATCTCCTCGATGCGGTACGACACCGAGTGAAAGTACTGGTGTGGGTTCAACTGGGAACTAAAGGAGTTCTGGTGGGAGAAGGCACAGCCCATCCCTCCTCCTCCTCCCCCCATCCCTCCCCCCATCCCTCCCCCACAGCTGCCGAACTCGTGTGAGTGGTAGTTCATGCAGGAGCAGACAGATGGCAGGTCAGTGACCTCGGCGCAGTACTGGCCCTGCGTTTCCCTGCGCCTCCTCCTGGCACCTCCTCCTCTCCCCAGCGTCTCCTCCTGGATGTGGATGATCATGCTGTTTCTGTTCCCCGCCAGCGAGGCCCTCTCCTCGGCGTCCCGCCTCTCGTCCTCACTGTTCATGGTCAGGAACCTCAGCACCACCAGGTTGAGGAAGGCTCCTATGACAGTCAGGCCCACCAGGATATACATGAAGCTGAAGGCCACGTACAGGGGCCTCCGCTGAAGGGCCCGGTTCTTCTGCAGGGCCACAAAGTCCCCGAAGCCGATGGTAGTCAGTGTGATGAAGCAGTAGTAGTAGCTCTGGAAGAAGCTCCAGTCCTCGTAGTGGGAGAAGGCAGCCGCCCCGATGCACAGCGTCCCGATGCAGGAGAAGAACCCCACCGTCACCATGTTCTCCATGGAAACATCGGTGATGTGCATGCCACAGCACTTCTTGATGCGCTTCAGGAGGGACTTGACAAAGGTGTTCATCCTCTCGCCCAGGCTCTGGAACATGACCAGGGTCAGGGGTATCCCCAGGACGGCATAGAACATGCAGAAAGCCTTCCCCGCGTCTGTGCCGGGAGCTGCATGGCCATAACCTGCAGGGAGACAACAGACCACAGTCACCAGGATGTAATGGTACAGCGGCATGGTCATAACCTGCAGGGAGACAACAGACCACAGTCACCAGGATGTAATGGTACAGCGGCATGGTCATAACCTGCAGGGAGACAACAGACCACAGTCACCAGGATGTAATGGTACAGCGGCATGGTCATAACCTGCAAGGGAGAGAAGATGGAGACATTGATCAAGACATAACATCTATGGTACAGTAGCATGGTCATATCCTGAAAGAGAGACAACAAACCAGAAACCGGGACCAGTATATTACAGCGATGGCTAGATAACTGCCAGGGATGGGGTCAATTCACTTTTAAATTCAGTACATTCAGCAGGTAAAATAGCCCATTAATTTCCTCAATTGATTGAATTGAAAATAGAACTCAGCCCCGCCAAGCCACTTACTATAAACTGAACTCCCCAGTTTGGCTTTGTTTTCAAATATGATCCAGTAAAAAATCCCCTAAGCGTCCTGCTGTCCCTCTGCCAAGATGGCTATTGAATAACAGCTGACCCCCACAGACAGGGCCGGTATTGAATAAGAGGGCAGCACAGAAATGGGTCCAGTCATTCATCTTACTACGGCCCAGAGATTATAAGGTTGTCCAATTAGTGGGAACTTTCCTTTCCGGTCCTGTGAGCTGCAGGGGAGTGTGGGAAACATAGGAGTTATTGGATGAGGAAGGAGTCGTACCGGAGCCAATATGGCTTTTAGGATAAGTAGACTTTATCTTTAGGCCTGTATTTGCTGACTCGCACACACACACATAAACCCAACGGCGCTATTCTAAATGCAACCTGTGGTCATAACTAGATTAGATCTAACACAGATGTAGGGTAGGCTATACATGCTTTGTTATACAGTACAGTACAGTACAGTACAGTATATTAATGGTTTTGAGTATGAAAGGCCATGCTGAGAATACGTTACATTTCTTTAATACATTTCTGCTGTATCCGTATGTAGGCTTAACTCACAACAACCTAACTGTAGCCAAATAACACCCACCATTCTTATACAGAAACAAATGTTTTGACAAAGATGCATTACTCTCCTACTATTTTTCACAGACCCATTGTAACCTGAACTAGTCCATTGGCCTTTGTGTTTCTTTACTATTGATTTCATACATTCCCTGATGGGCGTCCACCCACTCAAGCACATGAGGAATGATTATTTTTATAGACTCAGGACTTTGATCTATCTTGATTTACAGCAAGCAGATAATGGGATTTTATGTGCATATAAAGTGTGTTCCCGTAACCCTATATGCTTTACCCATGGAATTCATGAAAATCAAAGATGGACCATGGGTCAATAGTTGATTTGACTGCATTTGATAAACTCCTGCAGCTTCTCTGGACTAGATTGAGTAGGTAGCACATTAGGGTACACAGTTCACAATGTTGCATTATATTTTGACTTATTTAGCAAACAAATGGAAGGATAAACTGGTTTGAAAATCTACGGTACCTAATATATCTCACCAGGAAAACTAAAGTCCGGTTTTGAGGACCAAGATTAAGCCTACTCCTTCACTAAAAAGCCATTCTGCAAAAAATAGCCTTGTGTGATATGTACAGTGCCTTCAGAAAGTATTCATACACCTTGACTTATTGAATTCAAATGGATTCATTATTTCTCTCTCCCATCTACACACAATACCCCATCATGACAAAGTGAAAATGTGTTTTTAGATTTTTTTTCTAATTGATTGAAAATGAAATACTGAAATATACCATTTACATAGGTATTCACACCCCTTTGCTCTTTATCTCTCTCTTTTTCTCTCTCTTTTTCTCTCTCTCGATCTCTTCCTCTCTTTCTCTCTCTTTCTCTCTCTATTTCGCTCTCTCTTTCTCTCTCTCTCTTGATCTCGCTCTCCCCTCTCTCTCCCACTGCATGTATGTATTTCATTGTTGTGTACAGCTTGACAATGTTTCTCCAAGCAGCCACCAAAGAGTTGGATAGCTGACTTGAATCTGATAACAGAAAGGTGCAAATCAAAATCTCACATTGTCAGTAGGAATTCGTCTTGCTCCGTTTTGCACCAAATCAATGACCCTCCACAGCTCTATCTATCTCTCAACACAGACAGAGAGATGTCTGAAAGTGTTGTCTGTGTGTGAGCGGACGGAGAAGTTGAACACCTGCCAACTATGATTTAGATCAGTTACAGTGTATGGGGGTGTTTTGTTTATGATGTCTTTATGCTGATAGTAGAATTTTGATACACTATTCATTAAAAATACAGTTAGGGCCCCAATGACAACACTGATATTGTTTTCTCAAAACGACCATATTACTCAGTTCGAGCAGCAATTACTTCGAAAACTCTAGCTTCAAACCTCAGTGAGATCCACCTCTGTTACAGTAGCTAGATGTAATATAAGATGTTACTAGTTAAATCACCTTGCTACGCTGCTCCCTTGCCAGTGCTTATTCATCACCTTTAGATGGAGTGATGATATTAACATTATCATCATCTTCATCATCTCTGTGTTCTGTTTTATAATCAAGTTGGGCGAGATAACACCCTCTAAGTGATTAAACTGTAAATGGATTTCCTGAGACCAAACTAAGAGCCAAATCAAACATAAGTTGTTTGGCATTACCACATTGACACTAGATGTTTGTGAGGATGTTCTTAACAAAATTGCTTCATAACATTTCATTGCAAAGTCAAAGACAGTAGCTAGCTGGATAACTTTATTCATAGCCTATTCATAGTGATTTTTGAAAAGTGAAACATTTCTGGATGGGTTCTTACAGCTATTACATCGTGTACAGCTTCTAGCAGCAGCAACCTGTCTTCAATCCCTGTTGCACATTAAACAGCCTAATTAATATTGATTTTAATGGCTCAAATTATTCCTGGGGAGTAATCAGGTGGTAATTAATTACATTGGCAGACAGAAATGACAATGAATGGATAAATCATATTTGATTTCTGGCACTAGTTCATGAGTGTGCTGAAACTGGCTCAACACCGTCTGTCGCCTATTGTGTAATAGCTGATTTATGCTTGATCCGCCAATGCTGTCTAGAAGCTCCGTATGGAGGTGGAGGCCAAATCAAGCTCCGCACTGCATCGCCGTGCACGTCCCAAATTTTGAAACAATGTGGAGGGCTCCGTATATATACAGAATATCCGTATTCCTCCACATTGAAAAGATTGGTTGATGGTAGGTGAGTGCAGGAGGTCCTGTATAAACACAAACTCATTTCCTTGACGACTTCCTTCACAACAGCTCTGCTCAACTGCTCTGCAAAGCACAATAATTATGAATACCCTGATTTCTGCAGAGGCCGTATCACCGTAAATGATGTACAGCCAATGCAGAAGTCGGACTGACCATACAGCACCTTTAACAAGTAGACAGTGTTGCACATAGACATTTTTACATTTTAGTCATTTAGCAGACGCTCTTATCCAGAGCGACTTACAGGAGCAATTAGGTTTAAGTGCCTTGCTCAAGGACACATCGACAGATTTTTCACCTAGTCGGCTCGGGGATTAGAACCAGCGACATTTTGGTTACTGGCACAACGCTCTTAACCACTAAGCTACCTGCCGCCCGAGAGATTCATAGAGATAGAGATTCAAGACAGTCAAAAAGTGTACGCGTGTGCATCTGATACTGTTACGAAACCGAATCATCAAAGCTGTCCTTGTCTCTCAGCTGGATGACAGGAATGTATAAAAGGCGTTGTATGCTCAATCCGACATCTGCATTGTCTGTGCAGCATTTACGGTGATACAGCCTCTGCAGAAGTCAGGGCATTCATAATTATTGCGCTTCGTGGAGCAGTGCAGAGCTGTTGTGATGGAAGTTGTCAAGGGAGTGAGGTATACGGAGCTATACGGAGCTCTCCACATTGTTACAACATTTGGGAGGCGCACAGCGATGCGGTACGGAGCTGGATTTGGCCTCTGTGTGCCTCCGGAGGCTCCGCAATTGCGTCACACCATCCATACGGGGCCTCCGACCACATTTCGGATCAAGCATAAATTGGCTTTTAGATATTGGTTCAATCATCTTTGCCGCTTCAGACACTGTGTGTGTGTGTGTGTGTGTGTGTGTGTGTGTGTGTGTGTGTGTGTGTGTGTGTGTGTGTGTGTGTGTGTGTGTGTGTGTGTGTGTGTGTGTGTGTGTGTGTGTGTGTAGGTTGGTGGGTCGGTGTGTTCTTTGCCCCTTCGGAAACAAGGAGCGCAGCCACTGAGTACCTCTGTCTCTCTCACTCAAATCCACACAGAGCATCTGGCATCAAAGCTCACGTCCTCACGTGTACTCAGTCTCACAGAGAGAGAAGGGATAAGGGCCTAGACACATTGGTAAGCTGACAGCATGCACTTCTCTAACATACAGTGTGAATCTTTAACTAAGACGTTAAGGAACCCACTGACCCCAGAACTTCTGTTACCAATGTCCTTGAACAGATTCAATCATGATTGGGGAGAGGTTGGACAAGTCGTTTTTCTGCATTTCTCTCAGTTTTAGACTCTGAGCTCTCACAGTAATACATCAAGTCCTACTACTGACTAGTTGAATAAATAAAACCACTTTATTCTCCTTTCCTCTGTCCCTGCATGTGTTTTTTTTTTTTAGGGGGTAGATCAGCTTTAATATTTCAGATCGATTGTAACTTCCATCAATGTAATTGTCTGCATCAATTCCAATCCCCCATATGTGTTTTTCTCTCGCATATATATATATATATATATATATATACATACATACACATACATACATACATACATACATACATACATACATATATATACATACATACACATACATACATACATACATACATACATACATACATACATACATACATACATACATACATACATACATACATACATGCATATATATACAGTGGGGGAAAAAAGTATTTAGTCAGCCACCAATTGTGCAAGTTAAATTGTGGCCTGCTAAAGTGCCTGTTTGATGTTGAATACTTGGTTTTGTGTTGCAGTATTGGACTCTTTGATTGGATACTTTGTGTTCTATATTAGTGCTAGATTGAATACTTTCTGGACTCTATAATTTGTTTGTCCTGTTATGACTATATTAGCTGTTGTTGTCAAGGGAACAGACACATTTATTCTGCTGAGCAGAGACCTGTGTGTGTGTGTCCATGTGTGTGTGTGTTTGTGTGTGTGTGTGTGTGTGTGTGTGTGTGGGTGCCTGCGTACGTGGGTGTTTGTGTGAGTTTATAGATGTGTAACAGTGATGCACTTGACAATAAAATTGCTGAATAATCCCCTGAGCCTTTACAATTAGCAACTGAATGTGACACTTACAAGGCTTCTATACAAATCAATACACACTGTGTTGGTCAACTATAAGCTTTTGATACTTCTTTAATATATGCAGTATTATCCAATTTGAAACTAATCCTGTATCTTCTCAACTTTCCTCAAAGGCAAGTTAATGAGAATAAAATACCCAGTATTGCAACACAGTCCTATACTCTCAACCCCTCTCATACTGAGGTCTTGGTGAACCTGCTCTCTCTGTCATTCCTAACCATATCAAATGTATGGTAATATAGCATGCATGACTGTAAGTCGTTTTGCAGATATTATCGAGGCCCCTCGTTGGTGTGGGGAGAAGGGTTAGTTACTTGAGTAGTTGTTCAAACAAATCTCTTTTAGCTCATCTGTTCTGGGAGGTTAATCCACCTCACATTATTCCAGTGGCCCGGAGATATTAATTACCTGTGAGCCATGGAATTATAATGAAGGTCAGCACAGGGAAGTTACACTGCAGGATAGGAGGTGGAACAGCAGTTAAACTGCAGAACACCTTGTGCACCTCCCTCTGATGACCTGTCACCAGATGCCACACTGACAAGAGCTAACTAACTGTGAGCTAACTAACTGTGAGCTAACTAACTGTGAGCTAACTAACTGTGAGCTAACTAATTGTGAGCTAACTAACTGTGAGCTAACTAACTGTGAGCTAACTAACTGTTAGCAAACTAACTGTGAGCTAACTAACTGTTAGCAAACTAACTGTGAGCTAACTAACTGTGAGCTAACTAACTGTGAGCTAACTAACTGTGAGCTAACTAACTGTGAGCTAACTAACTGTGAGCTAACTGTCTGCGGTCCAGAACAGCACGTGCAGAGAAGACCCTCAAACACTCCCTCCATGACCCTGGCCAACTCTATGTTGTCATAATGGCCCAGAGTGAAGTATCCTTAAATCTATGTATTTACTATAGCTACACATTCATTAATGTTTGTTTGTAGTTCTGGAGAACCTGAGAGAGAGGTAGAGAGGAAAGCCAATGGACATTAACTGAATGACATCAAATATCTCTATGGCAAAAAAGTATCAATAGCCCTTCATTGCAATCACTGTTGCTTGATATGGAAAGTTGAGTATTTTTAGTCTATTGTAGTCTTATGCTTTATGAACGATGAAGCCTACGCTTGAAAGTATTTCTTTCATAGATAAATCTAGTTTCTCTATGATGAAAGTACAAGAAACAGTATCTGTCATCTCATCTTACAGAAAACTTCCCACGGACACAAGTCTGCTTTGATCATTTTGCTAATGCTGAAGCTTCCAACACACAGTCTCATACACAGACACCAATATGCATGGATGTACACACACATTTGCGTGCGCACACAGACACACACACCAGGCTATTAAGATATATACTACCTGCTGTTCAAACATCAAATGTGATCATATCTGTGTCATTTATGTTATCGGATAACCTTGTTGTCTGCACCCACTCTGTTGTCTGCACCCACTCACCCACTCTACCTTTCTGCCCCACATTCTCCTGTGAGGCAGACACACACACACACACACACACACACACACACACACACACACACACACACACACACACACTGCCATCTCACTGATAATGTACAGTATATATTTGTTTTATGTTCATCACACACTGTAGCTTTGGTCTGTAGGCTTTAATCATTGTTGTCATTTCATGTTATGTACCCCAACACCTTCAAGCCAAGGTTGACATTGAAAGATGTATGCAAGGAGACCAGTAATTCCCTTGGGCAAACAGTAGTTCTTGTTTCAATGTTTACCGATCAAAGACCAAGGTGAAGCTACAGCCATATTGCTTACACCTCTAATCATTTCAGATCTCCATCAACTGCCTCTAAAAGGCACTGCACGGTCAATCCAACGTCTGCATTGGCCGTGTAGCATTTACGGTGATACGGCCTCTGCAGAAGTCAGGGCATTCAGACTTCTTGAGCTACGCAGAGCAGTGTAGAGCTGTTGTAAAGGAAGTTGTCAAGGAAGTACGTTTATGTTTATACAGGACCTCCCGCCCTCACCTACCGTCAAACAATCATGTAAATGCGGAGCTATACGGAGCCCTCCGCATTGTTATAACATTTGAGAGGTGAACAGCGATGTGATGTGGAGCTCAATTTGGCCTCTGCAGGCCTCCAGAGGCTCCGCAATTGCGTCACACAATCCATACGCCGCCTCCGACCACATTTTTGGATTAAGCATAAATTGGCTATAACCCTTTTCAAGGTGAGTGAGTGGACAGAACTGTGAAAATGCCTCTAAATTATAAGAAGCTATCAACTAAACCAATACTGAAGCTATTTATAGAAACAGCTACACAGACAATTAGAATGTTCAGCAATAACAGAATTGGTTTCGGTATTGATGCTCATCAATCAACCAGTGTTGTTAAGTATTAATGCTATTTAACCAGTGTGGTTGAGTATTGACGTGGATGTCAATCATGTAAAGGACAGTAATTTGTGCTATAGTCACGGAGGCGTATACATTATTAGTAGACAATCTCGAGCCAGAATAACATTAAAGATATTTTTATTATTCTGAGGCTAATTAGGTTTTGGATTTCAGAACAGAGTTCAGTGAGCATACTCTCTCTCTGCCTCTGACTATCACATTCTCACTCATTCACTCACTCACTAACTCACTCACTCTCACACACACTCTCACACACACACACTGGTGCTGTCAGTTAACACAGTGATCTCACAAGCCAGGGTGGTAAAACACCTCTTTCCTAGAAAGGTGCCAGCCCAGACTTGAACACTGTGAATTAGTGTGTACTTCCTCATCCCTTCCACCCTCCACTGAGTTAGTACTGTAGATGACGTAGTGCCCTCCTCTGACTCCCTAGTGTCTCTGCTCTGCTGCTCGGCTGATTGGTTGAACAGACATGGAGCAAGAGACAAGGGAAATGAGTAGAGCTCTGCTCTGTGGAATATTACCAACTTGTCAGAGCTCTCCCGGCTCGGTGTGTGTCACTGTGGAAGTTGTGGAAGTTCTACAGGTCTAATGATGCTCAGTGCCCAGCACCACACTAAGGCTGTGAAATGCTGCTAAGCAACAGGCATTTACACACAGTACTGTCTGACCGCCCACTCATCATGATGCTGACACTAGTTCTGTGTCTGGCCTGCCCCTCTCCCCCTATACAATCGTAATGAGGAACTACTGTATGTGGGTTTAGTCAGCAGTTAACCTTTCGTCATACAATGACATACCATACAGGTTGTCTTCTTTTATTGGTAATTAGTCTGATGCTGAGAGGTTGTGGTGTTGTAAAGGTATTGATATGATAACTCCCCACACTGTACCCAACAGGCCCTCCTTACCCAGCTGTCATGGAAAACCAGCTTTTTGCTAGTGGTCTGTGGCCCCCTCTTGACTCTTGTGGCCCAGATCATTAGTCTCTGCCTGGCCTCTGACTTACCCCTGTCTTCTCCAGCTGGACGGCTGTTCAGCTGGGAGGGAGCTCCACAAACCAGACAGCCCCAGAACAGATATTGCACAGAGGGGAGGGAACGGCAGTGGAAAGAGTCATAGTCTGGCTCTCTTTCTCTCTATTTCTCCTGACAATATGATAATCACAGTACATGAGCATTCACATGCTGAATTTATGCCAGAATAATTCAATCAAATCAAGCTTTATTTATATAGCACATTTCACACATGGATGTAACGCAATGTGCTTCACAGGAAAAAACTAAATAAAGAAAAACTATAAAAATGAAAACAGAAATATTTACTACACAACAAACATCATAGGATAAATTTAAAGCAATAACAATCAAAACTGAACGACTAAAAAGCACCGTAAGGAAAAGCAAAGCAAAACATTTGTGTTTTAAGATCCCTTTTAAATATGCCCACAGTTTCGGTCACCCTCAGGTTCTCTGGCAGGCTAGGGGGCATAATAACTGAAGGCTGCCTCTCCATGCCTCATGGTCCTAGGCTTTGGGATAGTTACATAACTAAAAAGCATGTCTGATATGTATTGGGGTGCACAATCTTGGATTGATTTAAAAACCAATACAGGAATCTCAAAATTAATTATAAAATTCAAAGGCTCTCCGTCTGGTCTTGGTCAGTACCCGTGCTGCAGCATTCTGTATGTTTTGCAGTTGACCAACGGCTTTCTTGGGTAGACCAGACAGGAGACCATTACAGTAGTCAAGCCTGCTTGTAATAAAAGTCTCGCTGTATCAGCCTGAGAGAGAAACAGTGAATTTGGTTAAACTTAATTGTAAGTAATAAGTCCTTATTTTTCAATAGAAGCTGGAATGTATAAAAGAGAACATCTTTTACATACAGAAGCTTTTTATAGTGAATATTTTTGCTCACACTGCACACACATGGTCGAATTCTACGCTACTGCTCACATGTCCATTACCTTATCGCTGTTCACATAGAGCTATTTATAGTTCAGCTTTTTACAAGGTGACACACACAAACACACAGGCGAGGCCATTCCCTGCTGAGACCTGCAGGGGAAGCTGTGAGCACAGTGTTTATCAGCTCTGAAGTTTATTAGACTTTCCAAGCTGTGAAAATCCACTGTACTGCAGCCCTCCCGTGTGTCCTCACTTACTAGTGTGGCTCTATTTGTTTTTCCAGCCCCTAGGGACACACTGTTTAGTATCACAGACACAAGACACCACTTGTAGAACACAGCATGCTCTAAACCGCCAGAGCAGTTCTGGTAAAGCTGATTTCACTGTGCCCACCACCATGTCTCTGGGGAGCATCTATTGTGGTTGTGGTACGCCAGTCTGCTTTTACAAGGAAAACTACTGTACCAAACTACCGCCTCTTAATGATAAGCTAATTAGGTGGGTGCTTACATTTGTCCTTGGAAATATGTTTTTTGCATATCCCACTCCTCGAGAGTGGGGTCAGAGCCAGGGATCAGCCATTATTGACGGCGGCCCTGGCGCAATTAGGGTTAAGTGCTTTGCTTTTTTTTTTTTATCCTTCTTTAACCTGTCTCCTCCCCTTCATCTACACTGATTGAAGTGGATTTAACAAGTGACATCAATAAGGGATCATAGCTTTCACCTGGTCAGTCTATGTCATGGAAAGTTCCTAATGCTTTGCACTCTCAGTGTAGATAAACCTAATAGGAGGCAATGAAGAGCACATTCCTTCCCTGAAAAGTGGTGGCAACATCAACACATGTTGAGTACACAACATGGACCTGACACATCACATAAACATTTTAGGAGAGGAATGCTTGGTAAGCAGAAGGCAGTGAGCTAAGACCTAACTGTTAGGTCTTGTTGTGGCATTCTGCTGGCTCACCCGGTGAGGTGGGATGGTCAGAGTGGACCAAGGGATTTAACTTCATGGATCAATAGCCTACTCTGAGCCAGAAGAGGAGCAGCGCTGAGGTGGGCCAGGGGCACAGAGCGGGAGAGGACCGGGGGTGCAGTGAGGGGTAGGACCGGGGGTGCAGTGCGGGGTGGGCCGGGCCTGGACCTAATGGGTAAATGTCACAGCTCCTAATGCAGCAGCACCCACGGGCCAGGCTAGCCCCCAGATCAGACTGCTATGGAAAGATTTGTAATATTCTAGTTCAGAGAAAGTTCTGTGGGAACATGTTTGGTAAGTAACTATGATGAAAATGAACATCCAAACCAACCAGTGACGTTGGTGCAACAAGCCCTGAAACACCTTCTAATTCCGCATACTGTGTTGTGTTTGGGCTCTTTTAAAGCGTATTATTCATTATATATAGATTGTCTAAAATAAATAATATGAGCAGGACAATAACCTACGACACAAGGCCAAATCTACACTGGAGTTGCTTACCAAGAATACAGTGAATTTTCCTGAGTGGCCAAGTTACAGTTTTACAGTTACAGTTACAGTACTTGAAAATTGCTGTCTAGCGATGATCCCCAACATCTTGACAGAACTTGAAGAATTTTGTAAGGAATAATGGGAAAATATTGCACAATCCAGATGTGCAAATCTCTTATAAATTTACTCAAGAAGACTCACAGCGGTAATTGATTCCAAAGGTGTTTCTAATATGTATTGACTCAGAGAGCTGAATATTTATGCAACAACTATGTTTTAGTTATACAAATTCTATGATTATTAATATAAACACATTTTTACTTTGACATTACAGAGTATTTTGTGTAGATTGTTGACCAAAAAAATACATTTTTTACATTTTAATCCCACTTTGTAACCATACAATATGAAGAAATCCAAGGGATCTGAATACTTTTGCAAGGCACTGTATATCAAACCTTAAATACGTTTTAAGACATTATACAATATTTAAAGTGCATAAATCAATATTTAAAATATAACTGCTTCATTTCTATGCATTATTCATATTGGTACCGCTTTACCACCAGTATGCACCAGTGTTTAAGGATTCCTGCATATTTTAATGTATTTTTTATGAGTACGGTTGGATAAGAACAAGTCTATGTATTTAATGGCATTTGATATGTTCATCTTTTAACATGGTTTCAAAGCTAGGGTGTTAGGGAATAAGGTTAATTAATTAAATTAAAAACATTCTCAAAATGTCTACTTGTTGATGTTGTTCCTACTTGTTGTTCATACATCTCAGTACTGGTCCAGACGCTTTCATTTGGATTTAGTATTTATATTTAAAGTGTTGGTTTACATGTCAGGAGATAAGGAAACAGTAGTGCCCTGACACAAGTCAAAGGGTACACTTGTTTCCCCAACACCTGCAGAGTTCAAGTGTTTAACCTCTTAAGGATCGGACCCTTTTTTTCAATTTTTGCCTAAAATGACATACCCAAATCAAAATGCTTGTAGCTCAGGACCTGAAGCAAGGATATGCATAATCTTGATACCATTTGAAAGGAAACACTTTGAAGTTTGTGGAAATGTGAAATTAATTTAGGAGAATATAACACATTAGATCTGGTAAAAGATAATACAAACAAAATAACATCTGTGTGTTTTTTTTATCATCTGAAATGCAAGATAAAGGCCACAATATAATATTGCAGTTTAGGCGCAATTTAGATTCTGGCCACTAGATGGCAGCAGTGTGTGTGCAAAGTTTCAGATTGATCCAGTGAAGCATTGCAATACTGGACTATTTTGTATCATGTCTGCCCAAATGTGCCGAATTGGTCAATTGATACATTTTCAACTAAGAGAACATACAAAAATTATATGGTAATACAAAATGTAAGTTTACACACTCCCAGGAATGTCATACAAGATGGATCATTAGCTTATACACTAACTTTCACACATCTAGATGGCCGGGCAGGGTGGGTGTGGAGCCAGAGACAGCAGGGGTTCAAACTGTAGAACCCATTTCCTACATTTGAATATAAAATTTGATTTTATCAAACAAAACTATGCTACATTTTATCTCTGGGACCTTTAGGATGACAAATCAGAGCAAGATTACTGAATGTAAGTACATTATTTACCTTCAGAGGTGAATGTATCAAAACAGTTGCCGTGATAAGTTTTTTGTTGTTGTGCACTCTCCTCAAACAATAGCATGGTATTTTTTCACTGTCATAGCTACTGTAAATTGGACAGTGCAGCTACTTACAACAGTCATGCTAATCACATTAGTGCACGTTAGCTCAACCGTTCCGTATACGGGACACCGATCCCGTAGAGGTTAATCACTGTCTTTAACCATAGGGAAACCAGAGACATCAGGGGGTTAATTGGATGGAGAGGAATCCTGCAATACTCTACCTTCTTAGAACAAAGACTAAAAAGTACAAGTAACTCCCCACACAGGTACTCTAGATACTTCTTGTTTTCAGGAGAAAATATCTGCACAGGCAGTAGCCATTTTGCTACACTTTCTTCACAATCTCCATTTCACAGACAGTGAGGAAGAGAAATATATCTGCTGTAAACTCAGAACAAAGAGTGAAACAGAGGAGGAGCTCTCCTTTGCTAATAGATGTTCGATGCAAGCTGCTCTTTGAAAATGGGGGTGATACTTTAATGAATAGAACATGAAAAATGAGTTTGATGAAACACGCAAAACTCTGTGTAGCCCACTGTGAGTTTCAAGAAAATCCTCACTGTGTGAACATTAGACTGAAGGCTCTTAACACCAGGGGCCTTATCCACAAAGTGTCTCAGACTAGAGAATTGGTTGTAAGTGCTGAGAATAGAGACATTTTACTCCTACCCTTATGGATAAAAATAAAAGCTATGCATGAAGCCTCTTTAGTCATAAGAGTCCCACCTAGTCGACAGATATTTAGGACACCTCATGAGTTGAGTTACCAGCAGGTGTCTTGATAATAGAAAATGTAGTCAGTGGTTCCTGCGCTACATGCAATTGCTTTGCTGAAAGAATGTTTTGATATTTCTATATGATCAACCCATAAATAATCTAGACCGACATACTTTTGAAAATGATTTCACATGAGCCCTATTTCACATGATATGCCTAGATACTTATAACATTTTACATTTTTTGTCATTTAGCAGACGCTCTTATCCAGAGCGACTTACAGTTAGTGAGTGCATACATTTTCATACTGGCCCCCCGTGGGAATCGAACCCACAACCACATACAGTAGGCTTATAAAGTATCAGATTTTGATTTTGATTATTTAATTAACCTACATCACGTTATTTCAAGTAATCCATTTGGAGCGCAATAACACATTTAAAAAAAATATGCCTAAATTAAAGGCATCTAGGGCCTATGTTAACTTTGATTGTGTTCGGTGAAAATTACAGACCTTTCAAACATTTTATGCAACATTATCGGCAAGTGATTTGATGCCAACTGTGCCAAAGCGATTTAGAGTTGTTAAACGGGAGAGATGAGTGTGTTGATATAACGGTAATATCATAAAAAATGCCGCTTTTGTAATAAGAAATTAATAAAAAGACATAATATATGTTATGCACACCAACATATTAGCAAAGATTTAAAAGTAGGCAAAGTGATCGTGTAAGGCGAAAATTCTATCAAATGTTTTACCATTGCAACATTTGACAGTCATATTCACCGTGGTTGTCTGAAGCGTGTACAGCTGGCGATGCCGATTCGTGATTGGTTATTCTCCATTATTTACAACAATGTCAATGAGCATCACCGTCTTTCCTTTGCGGTACCTCAAACTGTCGTGATTACCAGCGGAGATAAAATGTTATGAGTTGATTTTACTCCTGGCTCAGACTTTGTCTGGGCATTGTCATATTATTCTAAAACCTACTCTGAGCTGGGAGTGTTTTTTAGTCTTAAAACAGGTTTTGACAGGATTCCTAGAACCTTTTCTGAGTTGCTTCTAGCCCTCAAAGTAACCAATAATGTCTAAACAAACTCGACAAAAAATCGCTGTCAAGACCACACGCAGACACACACACCTCGCCCCACCAAAAAATCTTTATCAAGACCACAACCTCATTGGCAGAACCACACACAACCATACACATACAAACACACATCACACACACAGCACCACCACAACCAAACAACAATCACTGTCAAGACCACACTACCCCATTGACAGAAGTCTTCACCAAACACTCCTTGTCAACAGTGGTTGGAGATGACAGCCACTGAGACACACACACCCTTCCACATGCGCACACACACCATACACACACACAGTACACGCACACACCCCAAACAATCCCTGTCAATGTTATGGTCCAGCTCATGTGGCTGTAGGAGATGACAGCTATGTATGGAGGGGGGGACAGAGTGCAGCTGTGAAGTGCCTTTGGCTACCGAGAGCTGTCAATCACGCTGGCAGCAGACAGAAGAGACTGTGTGTCCACTGTCATCATTCTCCACACTAGATGCTGTCATCACGCTGGCAGACAGATGAGAAACAGAGTTCAAAATGGCACCCTACTCCCTATATAGTGCACTACTTTAAACCAGGGCCGATAGGGAATAGGGTGTATTACACAATGTTGGGAATAGGGTGCCATTTCAGAGAATCAGCTGTGACGGTGTAGCTCCATCAGTCATACCTATGGTACATCACCTCTCTGCTGTACAAATTAGCAGCATATGGCCTATAGAGAGATATGGCCAGGGTAAACACATGACATACTATTTGACATGATGCCTGACAGGGATGAGGCTTAGAGCTGGGAGTCCTACTGGTTCTTATTAAGGAATCTGTAAACGTTTACACTCTGCATGATGCCTTCACACATACCTCCCTTACACACACACACACACACACACACACACACACACACACACACACACACACTTTATAATACCCACCAAACACTGCATAACATGACGCAGCTTTAAATTATTCATACACACTCTTGATTGGAAACCCACCTACTGCTACTAACGTCACCACATCACATGAATGAGATGGGAACGTATATGTTGTGTTAGGTGACATAGAGAGAAGGGTTTTTCAAGAGAGGTATTTTTTACAATACTGAGGTCCACTCCACATAGCCCCACTCTTAGAAAAAAAGGTGCTATCTAGAACCTTAAAGGGTTCTTTGGCTGTCCCCATAGGAGAACCCTGTCACGTTCGTTCATAGACGGGTCAGACCAAGGCGCAGCGTGATATGCATACATGTTTATTTGAACCGAATACACAACAACAAAACAACAAACGAAACGTGAAGTCCAAGGTACACAAACAACATACCTAACACGGAACAAGATCCCACAACCCACTAGTGCCAATAAGCTGCCTAAGTATGGTCCCCAATCAGAGACAACGAGCGACAGCTGCCTCTGATTGGGAACCACACCGGCCAACATAGATCTAGACATACTAGATCTAAACATAGAAAATACAACATAGAAAATCACAACAAGGAATATACACACCCTGACTCAACATATAAGCGTCCTCTGAGTCAGGGCGTGACAGTACCCCCCCCCCCCCCCCCAAAGGTGCGGACTCCGACCGCACAACATACACATAACAGGGTAGGGGCCGGGTGGGCATTCCGCCTCGGAGGCGGATCCGGCTCAGGGCGTGACGACCTCTCACTCTTCGCCTCCCTGTTGCGCCCCTGGTCTGGTCTAGACCTCGGCGCGTTGCTTCCCCTCTCCTTCCTCCCACTATACTCCAAGCCCTGTCTGGACCCTGGTGTGGGAGACCCCGAACCTGGAGAGGGGCTGACGTCTGAGTCTGGACTGGATCCGATGACCGGAGCTGGACCTGGCACCGGTGGAGCGGACTGCTCAGGCTCTGGACTGGAGCCGCTGACTGGAGCTGGACTTGGCACCGGTGGAGTGGACTGCTCTGGCTCCGGAGTGGAGCCGCTGACCGGATCTGGACTGGACCCCGGTGGAGCGGACTGCTCTGGCTCCGGAGTGGAGCCGCTGACCGGAGCTGGATCAGGCACCGGTGGAGCGGACTGCTCTGGCTCCGGAGTGGAGCCGCTGACCGGAGCTGGATCAGGCACCGGTGGAGCGGACTGCTCTGGCTCCGGAGTGGAGCCGCTGACTGGAGCTGGACGGGACCCCGGTGAAGCGGATTGCTCTGGCTCCGGAGTGGAGCCGCTGACTGGAGCTGGATTGGACCCCGGTGGAGTGGACTGCTCTGGCTCCGGAGTGGAGCAGCTGACCGGAGCTGGATCAGGCACCGGTGGAGCGGACTGCTCTGGCTCCGGATTAGAGCCGCTGACCGGAGCTGGACTGGACCCCGGTGAAGCGGATTGCTCTGGCTCCGGAGTGGAGCAGCTGACCGGAGCTGAACTGGGCACCGGTGGAACAGGCACGGGCCATGCCGGACTGGACACACGCACCACTGGCTTGGTGCGAGGAGCAGGAACAGGCCGGACCGGGCTGGCGACGCGCACCACTGGCTTGGTGCGGGGAGCAGGAACGGGCCGTACCGGACTGGCGACGTGCACCACTGGCCTGGTGCGGGGAGCAGGAACAGGCCGTGCTGGCGACGCACACCACTGGCTTGGTGTGAGGGGCAGGAACAGGCCGGACCGGGCTGGCGACGCGCACCACTGGCTTGGTGCGAGGCACAGGGCCGGGCCGGGCTGGCGACGCGCACCACTGGCTTGGTGCGAGGGGCAGAAACAGGCCGGGCCGGGCTGGCGACGCGCACCACTGGCTTGGTGCGAGGGGCAGGAACAGGCCGGGCCGGGCTGGCGACGCGCACCACTGGCTTGGTGCGAGGGTCAAGAACAGGCCGGACCGGGCTGTCTACGCGCACCACTGGCTTGGTGCGAGGGGCGGGAACAGGCCGGGCAGGGCTGGCGACGCGCACCACTGGCTTGGTGCGAGGGGCAGGAACAGGTCGGGCCGGGCTGGCGACGCGCACCACTGGCTTGGTGCGAGGGACAGGAACAGGCCGGACCAGGCTGGCGACGCGCACCACTGGCTTGGTGCGAGGGGCAGGAACAGGCCAGGCCGGGCTGGCGACGCGCACCACTGGCTTGGTTCGAGGGGCAGGAACAGGCCGGGCCGGGCTGGCGACGCGCACCACTGGCTTGGTGCGAGGAGCAGGAACGGGCCGGACCGGACTGCGAAGGCGGACTGGAGGTCTGGAGCGGAGAGCTGGCACAACCCATCCTGGCTGGCTGCCCACTTTCGCACTACACGTGCGGGGCGCTGGCACAGGACGCACTGGGCTGTGCACGCACACTGGCGATACAGCTCGTGGAACTGGCGCAGGATACGCGGGACCGAGGAGGCGTACTGGAGACCAGGAGCGTTGAGCCGGCACACCCCGTCCTGGCTGGATGCCCATCTTCGCACGGCACGTGCGTGGTGCAAGCACAGGACGTACAGGCCTGTGCCGGCGCACTGGCGACACAGTACTTTTTTTATTTTATTTCACCTTTATTTAACCAGGTAAGCCAGTTGAGAACAGGTTCTCATTTACAACTGCGACCTGGCCAAGATAAAGCAAAGTAGTGCAATAAAAACAACACAGAGTTACATATGGGGTAAAAAACATAAAGTCAGAAATACAACAGAAAATATATATACAGTGTGTGCAAATGTAGCAAGTTATGGAGGTAAGGCAATAAATAGGCTATAGTGCAGAATAATTACAATAGTATTAACACTGGAATGCTAGATGTGCAAGATATTATGTGCAAATAGAGATACTGGGGTGCAAAAGAGCAAAATAAATAACAATATAGGGATGAGGTAGTTGGGTGGGCTAATTTCAGATGGGCTGTGTACAGGTGCAGTGATCGGTAAGGTGCTCTGACAACTGATGCTTAAAGTTATTGAGGGAGATAAGAGTCTCCAGCTTCAGAGATTTTTGCAATTCGTTCCAGTCATTGGCAGCAGAGAACTGGAAGGAATGGCGGCCAAAGGAGGTGTTGGCTTTGGGAATGACCAGTGAGATATACCTGCTGGAGCGCAGACTACGGGTGGGTGCTGCTATGGTGACCAATGAGCTAAGATAAGGCGGGGATTTGCCTAGCAGTGATTTATAGATGGCCTGGAGCCAGTGGGTTTGACGACGAACATGTAGTGAGGACCAGCCAACAAGAGCGTACAGGTCATAGTGGTGGGTAGTGTATGGGGCTTTGGAGACAAAACGGATGGCACTGTGATAGACTACATCCAATTTGCTGAGTAGAGTGTTGGAGGCTATTTTGTAAATTACATCGCCGAAGTCAAGGATCGGTAGGATAGTCAGTTTTACGAGGACGTAGCTCCGCATAACATGGAGCTTGCCCAGTCATACGCCTTCTCGCGTGAGTACGGGGAGTTGGCTCTGCTCTAACCCTAGGCTCCGCCAACCACCCTCTTAGCCCCCCCCCCCCCCCCCCCAAAAAAAAATATTGGGGCTGTCACTCAGGCTTCTTCCTCGACCGGCTTCCTCTGTGCTGCCGTTGCTCCTCTCCTGCCTGGGCATCTACCTTTGCCCATGGCCCTTTCCCCGCAAATATCTCCTCCCATGACCACCATTTGCCCACCTGTGACATGGCTATTCGCTCTTCCTGGGCACGCTGCTTGGTCCTCGTTTGGTGGGATCTTCTGTCACGTTCGTTCATAGACGGGTCAGACCAAGGCGCAGCGTGATTTGCATACATGTTTATTTGAACCGAATACACAACGACAAAACAACAAACGAAACGTGAAGTCCAACGTACACAAACAACATACCTAACACGGAACAAGATCCCACAACCCACTAGTGCCAATAGGCTGCCTAAGTATGGTCCCCAATCAGAGACAACGAGCGACAGCTGCCTCTGATTGGGAACCACACCGGCCAACATAGATCTAGACATACTAGATCTAAACATAGAAAATACAACATAGAAAATCACAACAAGGAATATACACACCCTGACTCAACATATAAGCGTCCTCTGAGTCAGGGCGTGACAAACCCTTTGAAGAACCCTTTTTGGTCCCAGGTAGAACCCTTTTGGGTTCCACGTAGAACCTTTTCTACAGAGTGTTCTACCTGGAACCAAAAAGGGTTATCCTATGGGGACAGCCAAATAACCCTTTTGGAACTCTTTTTTCTAAGGGTGTAATTGAGTGACAGTGAATCAGACTGTGCTGACCTGCACCTCATTGACAGTCCTTAACCCCTGTCTATTGAAGCGACTGTATACAGAACATGATTGTTGCTCAGACTTTAATAGGTCCAGTAGTTGTTGTTATGGTAGAAAGATGTGGGCAGTGTTTGTATTGGTGAATCTAACTAGTCGTGACACACAAAAGCAGCACAGCGCTTCAAAGAGCTTATTCCTGGCTCCCATAAAAGCTATTGTTCTGAAAGCAATAAGAATGTCAGTTCACCTGTCCTACTCTCAGGTACTCGTGCACACACACACACACACACACGCACGCACACACACACACACACACACACACACACACACACACACACACACACACACACACACACACACACACACAAGGCAATGGGAGCTTTTATCTCACACAGAGTCATCAGATCTTTAAAGATATTGTTGTGTTGCATGATGTCGATCTATATACACAGTTTTCACATTTAGCTGTATTGGAGTAAGATATAAACAGCTTTTTGAAATTTGATTTAGCAGCGGCATTTTGTTGCTATATATTTGAGTGAATTAAATGTAAAATGCCTGTTAGACTAATACATTTTGTACCATGACCATGCCTTTTGAAGAAGTGAGTGCTTTGTGACTAATGATGTGTGTCCATGTCATGTTTCACCAGTGTACCCCATTACTCATGAAACCAATTCAAATGCATGATTTAATCACAGGACAGAAATCACTACAAAGAAAAGCTCTACAACTGTTTTTACACCCCAGGATACATATGGGCCCTGGTCGAAAGTAGTGCAGTAAACAGAGAATAAGGTGTCATTTGGGACAACGCCTGTAATAAAATGCAACATCGCAGCCTCTGTAGTAACCTGTGCGTGATCCATCACTGTACTGTAGTCTCTGTCTCTGTACATAACAGACTCAGCAGGTCAGACACCAACATTGAGTTTCTGCTAGACATGGGATTTGACAAATCCGCGTCTCTTGCACACCGCTGTAGCTAAAGCTTATTTTGTGCAGCTAATGCAAGGCCTTAGGTCTCCGGTAAACTACACTGAACAGCAATATAAACACAACATGTAAAGTGTTGGTCCCATTTTTCATGAGCTGAAATAAAATATCCCAGAAATTTACCATACGCACAAAAAGCGTATTTTTCTCGGATTTTGTGCACAAATTTGTTTACATCCCTGTTAGTGAGCATTTCTCCTTTACCAAGATAATCCATCCACCTGACAGGTGTGGCATATTAAGAAGCTGATAAAACAGCATGATCGTTTTAGAGAATTTGGCAGTATGTCCAACCAGCCTCACAACTGCAGACCACTTTTATGGCGTTGTGTGGGTGAGCAGTTTGCTGATGTCAACGTTGTGAACAAAGTGCCCCATGGTGGTGCTGGGGTTATGGTATGGGCAAGCATAAACTACGGACAACAAACACAGCTGCATTTTATCAATGGCAATTTGAATGCACAGAGATACCGTGACGAGATCCTGAGATCCATTGTCGTGCCATTCATCCACCATCATCACATCATCTGTCAGCACGATAATGCACAGCCCCATGTCACAAGGATCTATACACAATTCCTGGAAGCTGAAAATGTCCCAGTTCTTCCATGGCCTGCATACTCACCAGACATGTCCCCCATTGAGCATGTTTGGGATGCTCTGGATTGACATGCACGACAGCCATTGAAGAGGAGTGGGACAACATTCCACAGGCCACAATCAACAGCCTGATCAACTCTATGTGAAGGAGATGTGTCGCGCTGCATGAAACAAATGGTGGTCACACCAGATGCTGACTGGTTTTCTGATCCACGCCCCTACCTTTTTTTAAGGTACAGTATCTGTGACCAACAGATGCATATCTCTATTCCCAGTTATTTGAAATCCATAGATTAGGGCCTACTGAATTAATTTAAATTGACTGATTTCCTTATATGAACTGTAACTCAGTAAAATCGTTAAAACTGTTGCATGTTGAGTTAATATTTTTGTTCAATATAGTTACGTGAGTGTGGTTCACCATTTGAACCACATCTATTACCAAAGCACCCTTTGTCTATGTAGTCTTTCTTCACACACTGATGCACAGAGCCAAGAAACGTCTTCACTTTCCAAGCAATTAGTCAGAGAAATGAGTGGAATCAACCCCCAGGCCAATCTGGACACAGTGGAAACGTGAGTTAGAACTGCAAACAGAACAGAATCACCTCAACGACACGGCATGCAGTGTCTCCACGGCAACAACCACGTCGCTACAGCTGTTCTCACATGCGCTCATCTCCCCTCCTAAATCAGGATGATCACACGCTACTTATAGATTACTAGCATTTAGCAGTGTTGGTGGCCATGGTGATGATGATGATGATTTTATTTTATTTATTTTGATTTATTTGATATCAACTATGGTTAAACCAGTCACATTCAGGGCATAATTCTACAATTTTGGTTTATTTTTACACACAACAAGCAGCGCCACAACATGCAGAGACAGATTTCTACAGTAAAACATTTACTGGAGTCTGTAGTTGTTCTCTCTCGAATGACTTCTCAAAATCAATATGACAGGTCTGTGTCCAGACTTGTGGATATCGACTTTCTTTGTTCACCTATGTTGTGCACGCATGCATGCATGCACGCACACATACACACACACACGCAAACACACACACTCACACAGTGTACAAAAAAAAAACACAAATCTAGTTGTTTCAACTCATTATTATTAAGTAACTGGTTCCACAGCCTTTTTTAGTTTACTCAACTTTTTGGTTAAAGTGTTACCTGAACTTAATATTTTTAGTTGGCCGGAAACTTAGCTCCAACATGAGAAAACTTCTATCAATTTAAAATTATGTATTTTCTCAATTTGTCTTATGTGTTCATTCAACAAACAAACAAATATTGTTGGTATTTTACCCCCCAAAAAGGCTGTGTAACTAGTTACGCACACTGATTGTAACATAAAATGTTCTCAACTTACATATTTGACACACATTGTGCATGCTCATTTATACAGTAATTATTATTCAACATGTCCGCACCTGGGATTTGAACTCACAACCTCTTGGTTCATGGCGTGCCAATCTTCCTGCTACACCACCATGTCTGTATCAATTTTCAGTTAATCTGACTATTCTCTCATCACTGACTTACTTATATATTTAATTAATTTGAGTTTTTTCTGTTTAGTTGTCTAATGTTGGTGGGGAATATTTATTTGTTTAACTTCTTAATCACTATGATAAATAAAAATAATTTTTCTTGAGTGTACTTTTAACAGAGCAGAGATTTACTTTGAAGTGCAAAGTGTAGCAATACCATTGAAATCAGTTATTGACACAGACATAGTTGTGTAGCAGGAAGATTGAAATGCTCTAAACCAAGAGGAGACGACATGTTGAATACTAATTCATGTATAAATGAACGTGCACAATGTAAAGCCTATGGATACAGCATTATCAGCCTTGTGTACATAATGAGTACCGTTTGTGTTGAGGTTGTTTTTTTTAACCCCTCACATGGCAATTCGTCAGTCAAGTCAAGTGACTCATCCTCCTGCTGAATGTTTGGATGGAAAAACAAATAGTTAGTCAAAACTGCTACAGTGTGGCCTGTATCCATATAAACTCTTTCTTTATCTGTATATGGAACGTGTCTCTTACAGTGTAATTACAATGTAATAACTGCTGTATAATTGAATTTCCAATCAGGCCCGCGGCTGGATTGTGTAAAAAATAAAAAATAAACTCTATATACTTTTAAATGACTAAAACCAAAATCAAAACTGTGTAGAAATTATAATGGACCTAATAATCACCTAAATTAAAGCGAGACAGCCAGGGATTATCGAAAATTCTATCTTTAGCAAATTTGGACTGCGAGGAAATATATTTGTAAAATCAGTGTGGCACTCCAGACTTCGTTAAAGACCGAATTCGGCCCCCGTAGCAATTTTATTTGACACCCATTATCTAGGGTTTACTAAATGTAATTTGTTTCAGCTTTACTCCAAATGCATTACAGCATTAGTGTCACCATTACCTATGCATAATCATTATCATTACCTAGGCCTATGTGATTGCCTTGTGTGTGTGTGTGTGTGTGCGTGCGCGTGTGTCCGTGTGTGTGTGTGTCCGTGTGTACGTCCGTGCGTGCGTGTACGTGTTTGTAGGCTATGCTACCTTCATTTTCCACGCCTCCACATTTGGAATGCACCCCAGAAATATTTTCTATTTCTCCTGGATTGTACGACAACATACTTTTTTTTTCTTTGGGGGTAGATCAGCTTTAATATTGTAGATAGATTGTAACTTTCATCAATGTAATTGTTTGCATCACTTCCAATCCCCCATATGTTTTTTTTCTCGCAAATATATATATATATATATATATATATATATATATATATATATATATATATATATATACATATACATACATACACATACATATACACATACATACATACAAATACATATACATACATACACATACATATACACATACATACAAATACATATACATGCATATCAACTCAGCAAAAAAAGAAATGTGTAAATATTTGTATGAACATAACAAGATTCAACAACTGAGACATAAACTGAACAAGTTCCACAGACATGTGACTAACATAAATTGAATAATGTGTCCCTGAACAAAGGGGGGGTCAAAATCAAAGGTAACAGTCAGTATCTGGTGTGGCCACCAGCTGCATTAAGTACTGCAGTGCATCTCCTCCTCATGGACTGCACCAGATTTGCCAGTTCTTGCTGTGAGATGTTACCCCACTCTTCACCCTCGCTCACCACCTTCCGGAGACATTTGAAACCCCACCTCTTTAAGGAATACCTGGGATAGGATAAAGTAATACTTCTACACACCCCCCCCCCCCCCCCCCCCCTCCCCCCTCCCAGACGTGCTCAATGGGATTGAGATCCGGGCTCTTCGCTGGCCATGGCAGAACACTGAAATTCTTGTCTTGCAGGAAATCACGCACAGAACGAGCAGTATGGCTGGTGGCATTGTCATGCTGGAGGATCATGTCAGGATGTGCCTGCAGGAAGGGTACCACATGAGGGAGGAGGATGTCTTCCCTGTAACGCACAGCGTTGAGATTGCCTGCAATGACAACAAGCTCAGTCCGATGATACTGTGACACACCGACCCAGATATTGACGGACCCTCCACCTCCAAATCATTCCCGCTCCAGAGTACAGGTCTCGGTGTAACGCTCATTCCTTCCATGATAAAAGTGAATCTGACCATCACCGTGGGTGAGACAAAACCGCGACTCGTCAGTGAAGAGCACTTTTTGCCAGTCCTGTCTGGTCCAGCGACGGTGGGTTTGTGCCCATAGGCGACATTGTTGCCGGTGATGTTTGGTGAGGACCTGCCTTACATCAGGCCTACAAGCCCTCAGTCCAGCCTCTCTCAGCCTATTGCGGACAGTCTGAGCACTGATGAAGATATTGTGCGTTCCTGGTGTAACATTGCAATGTATTGCCCTGGCCACATCTGCAGTCCTCATGCCTCCTTGCAGCATGCCTAAGGCACGTTCACGCAGATGAGCAGGGACCCTGGGCATCTTTCTTTTGGTGTTTTTCAGAGTCAGTAGAAAGGCCTCTTTAGTGTCCTAAGTTTTCATAACTGTGACCTTAATTGCCTACCGTCTGTAAGCTGTTAGTGTCTTAACGACCCTTCCACAGGTGCATGTTCATTAATTGTTTATGGTTCATTGAACAAGCATGGGAAACAGTGTTTAAACCCTTTACAATGAAGATCTGTGAAGTTATTTGGATTTTTACAAATTATCTTTGAAAGACAGGGTCCTGAAAAAAGGACGTTTGTATACATATCCTTTTTTTAAAATATTGATTTCCCTTTATTACTTTCCAACCCCACCACCCCTTCCCTAATTGGAGTAAACTAGTGAACAACATACTATATACATTTTAGGGACACAGTCAATTTTACAATAATTCTACTTTGTTTGTTTTTACTCCTGAACTTCCTCTACCCTCAACCGCTCTGATCATTTTCATGATGTCCATCCGGTTTGTTTCTATATGCCATATCTTTCTAACTGTGCTCTTTCACAAAAGCTCTCAACCTATAACCTATGCATGAGTGAGGGAAAAAAGTATTTGATCCCCTGCTGATTTTGTACATTTGTCCACTGACAAAGACATGATCAGTCTATAATTGTCACGGATTCTGCCGAGGCTGCTCCTCCTCCTTGCTCGGGCAGGCTTCGGCGTTCGTCGTCCCCGGAGTACTAGCTGCTGCCGTTCGATGTTATCGGTGTCTGTTTAGTTTTGTCTGTATTGTTTACACCTGTTCGTCATTATGTTTGATTGTTGCCCTTATATTACCCCTGTCTCTCATCGGGTTATTGTGTGTGATTGTTTTCCCTTCACGTATGTCATTAGTGAGCAGGTTATTTCCTCCCTGCGTGGAGTTATTTCTGTGTTCTATTGTTCAGTATCGGATTAAAGTACGTGTCCGAGAGTTCTGTGTCCTGCGCCTGACTTCTTCAACCGCATCTCACCGACAGCCGTGACAGAATCACACACCACAACATGGAGTCAGCAGGAGCGACGGCACCGACCGGATCACTCGAGGAGCGCGTCCTACAACAGGCAGCGATGCTACAAAATCTTGGTGCCACCATGGATAACGTGATTAACACTTTGGGACGATGGGAGAGAGAAGGTTTGCCCACACCTCCTCCAACGATACCACCACCATCGGCCACTCCTATCGTCTCACATCCGGAGTCCAGTGGGATTCGGCTCTCGCTCCCGAGGGCTTATGATGGCACCGCAGCCGGGTGTCAGGGTTTCCTGCTCCAGGTGGAACTTTACCTGGCAACCATTCACCCGGCACCCTCGGGATACGAAAGCGTGTCCGCCCTCATCTCCTGTCTGTCCGGCAAGGCACTGGAGTGGGCCAACGCCGAGTGGGGAGGGATAGACGCCGCTACTGTGAACTATGCGGAGTTCACCCGCCGCTTCAGGGCAGTGTTCGATCATCCCCCGGAGGGGAAGGCGGCGGGTGAGCGTCTATTCCACCTCAGACAGGGGAGGAGGAGCGCGCAGGAATTCACACTGGACTTCCGGACTCTGAGTGCCAATTCGGGATGGAATGAGAGGGCCCTCATCGACCACTACAGGTGTAGCTTAAGAGAGGACGTTCGTCGAGAGTTGGCCTGCAGGGACATCAACATAAGCTTCGATCAGCTGGTGGACATGTCGATTCGCCTGGATACCCTGTTGGCTACCCGCGGACGTCCGGAGCTGGGGCCGTCCATTCCATCCCCCAGCACCTCCGAGCCGAGCCCTATGGAGCTCGGGGGTGCTGGTAGTAGGGAGGCCAGGAGGGAGGCTGTCCCCTGCACCAACTGTGGCCGCCGAGGACACACGGCGGTTCGGTGCTGGGGAGGGTCTCCTCGGATTCGAGGCAGCAGGCAATGCATGGATAAGTCATTCCCGGTGAGTAAGGCCGCAACTCACCCAGAGCTCTCTGTTGTTCATATGTGTATTCAAGTTGTGTTTCCAGAGATTTCTTCTTACTCCCAGCATAAGGCGCTAGTCGATTCAGGCGCAGCTGGGAATTTTATCAATCGCCATTTCTCATATAAGTTAGGAATCCCTATATTACCAGTCGATGTGCCCTTCCCTATCCATGCCCTAGATAGCCGGCCTTTGGGGTCGGGATTGATTAGGGAGGTCACAGCGCCACTGAAGATGAAAACGCAGAAGGGTCATGAGGAGACTATACAGTTGTATTTAATTGACTCTCCTGCGTTTCCAGTGGTGTTGGGGCTTCCCTGGTTAACATCTCATGACCCCAACATTTCATGGCAACAGAGGGCTCTCAAGAGATGGTCTGATCAGTGTGTGGGGCGGTGTGTAGGTGTTTCCGTAGGGGCAACGACGGTGGAGAGTCCGAACCAAATACCCACAATGCACATTCCTCCTGAGTATGTCCGATTTGGCACGTGCCTTCTGTAAGAAGAAGGCGACTCAATTACCACCTCATCGACAGGGGGATTGTGCGATAGACCTCCAGGTTGGCGCTGCGCTCCCTCGCAGCCATGTGTATCCTCTGTCTCAGGAGGAGATGGCTGCTATGGAGACATACGTCACCGAATCCTTGAGACAGGGATACATACGGCCGTCCACTTCTCCTGCGTCCTCAAGTTTATTTTTTGTGAAGAAGAAGGATGGGGATTTACGCCCGTGTATTGATTACCGTGGTCTCAATCAGATCACTATTAAATACAGCTATCCTCTCCCTCTGATTTCTAGTATGACGGAGTCATTACACGGGGCGCGCTTCTTCACAAGATTGGATCTCAGGAGCGCTTACAACCTGGTGCGCATTCGGGAAGGAGATGAGTGGAAGACAGCATTCAGTACCACCTCGGGTCACTATGAGTACCTCGTCATACCATACGGTCTAATGAATGCTCCTTCAGTCTTCCCATCATTTTGGGACGAGTTTTCGGGATTGATGGACAGGGGTATGGGTTATTGATGACCCTTTTGATATACTCCGCACAAATTCCGGCTGTTCCTGGTACGCCCGGCGCAGTTTTGGGCTAAGGCATGCATACAGGCACCGTGCCACTAGAGATCTGGTTCGAATCCGGCCTTTTCGGCAGCCGGCCGCGCCGGAGATCAGTTTCGGCCACCTTTTGGCTCCCGCGTCGTCCAGGTTTTGGGGAGGATGGCCGGGCAGGGATGAGCTCAGTTTATAGAGCTGCGTTTCAACGCCAGGGTGGTGGGTTCGTTCCCCGGGGGCGCATAAAAATATTATCACTAACTGTAAGGCGTCGGAAGAGCGTCTGCTAAATGACAAAATGTAATGAAATGTACGTCGGTGCTGGTAGACTGTTGGAGCATGATCTGTAAAGTGAAGCAGAGAATGTCTGTTTTACCAGGAGTCCATCTCCCCTTTCCCGGGACACCGGTGTCCCGCGTCAGGGGTGGAGATGGAGATTGACCGCGTTTCAGCCGTGCGTAATTGGCAGACTCCAACTACAGTAAAGGAGGTGCAGCGTTTTTTGGGTTTTGCCAATTACTACCAGAGGTTTATCCGGGGTTTTGGACAGGTAGCAGCTCCCATTACCTCCCTGCTAAAGGGTGGCCCGGTGCGTTTGCAGTGGTCGGCTGAGGCGGACAGGGCGTTTAGTCATTTGAAGGACCTGTTCACCTCAGCTCCGGTGCTGGCACATCCGGATCCCTCTTTGGCGTTCCAAATCGAGGTGGATGCGTCCGAGGCGGGGATCGGTGCTATACTGTCTCAGCGCTCGGGCACGCCTCCAAAACTCCGCCCCTGTGCTTTCTATTCCAAGAAGCTCAGTCCGGCGGAACGCAATTATGACGTGGGGGACAGGGAGCTGCTAGCTGTGGTCCAAGCCCTGAAGGTGTGGAGACATTGGCTTGAGGGGGCTAACCACCCTTTTCTCATTCTGACTGACCATCGTAACCTGGAGTACATCCGGGCAGCGAAGAGACTGAACCCTCGTCAGGCTAGGTGGGCCATGTTTCTTGCCCGGTTTGTATTTAAGATCACGTATATCCCAGGGTCATAGAACGTTAAGGCAGACGCCCTGTCCCGACGATATGACACAGAGGAGAGGTCCATTGAGCCCACTCCCATACTACCGGAGTCTTGTCTAGTGGCACCGGTGGTGTGGGAGGTCGACACGGAAATCGAGCGGGCGTTACGTACCGACCCTACTCCCCCAGAGTGTCCAGAGGGACGGAGGTACGTGCCGCTCGAGGTCCGTGACCGACTGATTTATTGGGCTCACACGTCACCCTCCTCTGGTCATCCTGGTATTGGTCGGACAGTGCACTGTCTTAGCGGGAAGTACTGGTGGCCCACCTTAGCCAGGGACGTGAGGGATTACGTTTCTTCCTGCTCGGTGTGCGCCCAGTGTAAGGCGCCTAGACACCTGCCCAGAGGGAAGTTACAACCTCTGCCCGTTCCACAACGGCCGTGGTCTCACCTGTCAGTGGATTTTGTCAGGGACCTTCCCCCCTCCTAGGGGAATACCACGATCTTGGTCGTTGTGGATCGGTTTTCTAAGGCCTGCCGTCTCATCCCTATGCCAGGTCTTCCTACAGCCCTACAAATGGCCGAAGCCCTGTTTACTCACGTTTTCCGGCACTACGGGGTGCCTGAGGATATAGTGTCTGATCGGGGTCCCCAGTTCACCTCTAGAGTGTGGAGGGCGTTTATGGAACGTTTGGGGGTCTCGATCAGCCTTACCTCGGGTTTTCACCCTGAGAGTAATGGGCAGGTGGAGAGAGTAAACCAAGATGTGGGTAGGTTTCTGAGGTCCTACTGCCAGGACCGGCAGGAGGAGTGGTCGGGGTATATTCCCTGGGCAGAGATAGCCCAAAACTCACTCCGCCACTCCTCCACTAATCTTACTCCTTTCCAGTGTGTGTTGGGCTATCAGCCGGTTCTGGCACCCTGACATCAGAGCCAGATCGAGGCTCCTGCGGTGGATGAATGGTTTCGGCGCTCGGAGGAGACATGGAACGCTGTGCATGTCCATCTGCAGCGGGCCATCAGACGGCAAAAGGCGAGCGCCGATCGCCACCGCAGTGAGGGTCCGGTTTATGCACCGGGAGATCGGGTCTGGCTCTCGACCAGAAACCTGCCCCTTCACCTGCCCTGCCGGAAGCTGGGCCGGCGGTTTGTGGGGCCATTTAAAGTCCTGAGGAGATTGAACAAGGTATGTTATAGGTTAAAGCTGCCTATTAATTATCGCATTAACCCCTCGTTCCATGTGTCTCTCCTCAGGCCGGTGGTAGCTGGTCCACTCCAGGAGAATGAGGTACGAGAGGCCCCTCCGCCCCCACTAGACATCGAAGGGGCTCCGGCGTACTCAGTCCGTTCCATCGTGGATTCGAGGCGTCGGATGGGGGGTCTGCAGTATCTCGTGGAGTGGGAGGGGTACGGTCCGGAGGAACAGTGCTGGGTCCCTAGGAGGGACATCCTAGATCCCTCCCTGTTGACAGAGTTCCACCGGAGTCATCCGACTCGCCCTGCTCCGCGTCCTCCTGGCCGTCCCCGAGGCCGGGGTGGAGCCGCGCGTCAAGGGGGGGGGGGGGGGGGGGGGGGTACTGTCACGGATTCTGCTCCTCCTCCTTGCTCGGGCAGGCTTCGGCGTTCGTCATCCCCGGAGTACTAGCTGCTGCCGTTCGATGTTATCGGTGTCTGTTTAGTTTTGTCTGTGTTGTTTACACCTGTTCGTCATTATGTTTGATTGTTGCCCTTATATTACCCCTGTCTCTCATCAGGACATTGTGTGTGATTGTTTTCCCTTCATGTATGTCATTAGTGAGCAGGTTATTTCCTCCCTGCGTGGAGTTATTTCTGTATTCTATTGTTCAGTATGGGATTAAAGTACGTGTCCGAGAGTTCTGTGTCCTGCGCCTGACTTCTTCAACCGCATCTCACCGACAGCCGTGACAATAATTTTAATGGTAGGTTTATTTGAACAGTGAGAGACAGAATAACAACAAAAAAATCCAGAAAAACGCATGTAAAAAATGTTATAAATTGATTTGCATTTTAATGAGGGAAATAAGTATTTGACCCCCTCTCAATCAGAAAGATTTCTGGCTCCCAGGTGTCTTTTATACAGGTAATGAGCTGAGATTAGGAGCACACTCTTAAAGGGAGTGCTCCTAATCTCAGTTTGTTACCAGTATAAAAGACACCTGTCCACAGAAGCAATCTAGGCAAATCCCCGTTTTACCTTAGCTCACTGGTCACCATAGCAACACCCACCCGTAGTCTGCGCTCCAGCAGGTATATCTCACTGGTCATCCCCAAAGCCAACACCTCCTTTGGCCGCCATTCCTTCCAGTTCTCTGCTGCCAATGACTGGAACGAACTGCAAACATCTCTGAAGCTGGAGACTCTTATCTCCCTCACTAAATTTAAGCGTCAGTTGTTATTTGTTGTTATTCTGTCTCTAACTGTTCAAATAAACCTACCATTAAAATTATAGACTGATCATGTCTTTGTCAGTGGGAAAACGTACAAAATCAGCAGGGGATCAAATACTTTTTTCCCTCACTGTACTTATTATGGACACAGTATGCTTTACATTAGTTATCTTGCTGTTATTAGTTGTTGTTAGTTGTTATTAGTCCCATCCTTCAGCTCCATTCAACACCTCCTATCTATCTCTTAACACCATCCATATTGGATTTCTATTTGCCATATAATTTTCAACTGTACTGTGATGTTTCACAAAAGTTCTGAACCCTTCTATTCTCATTGTTTCTACAGATTGTAAATTGAAAATAAACATTTTTGCTAAAAGTATTATTATATTATTGATCGATTGACTCTGACTTTTCAGATCACCCAGTAGTGCTATCTGCAGGGTTTGCTCCAAGCCATTCCTGGACCTGTGACCAAAAACAAGCTACAAATGGACAGTACCAAAACAAATTATCTAATGATTCTGTCTCTTCGCAGCAAAATCTGCAGAGCTGGGAAGATTGTTTCCCCCATATAAACAACACACTTTGTGAAAGGCTCATGGGTTATGACATAATGTGTAATGAATCAGCAAGTGGAGCTGCTTTCTGTAGCCTCTGTACAGCAGGCTGTGTTGCGTGTCTTTGAACAGGTTTCACTGGATCTGCAACGTGATGTAACAGATGGTCAGAACGTTTTTATAGAAAAACAAATAGTCAAAACTGCTACGTTGTGGCTTACATCCATGTAAATTATTTATTTGTGGAACGTATCTCGTACAGTGTAATTACAATGTAATAACAGTTGTATATAATTTGAGTTTCCATACCTATCTATCTAGGTACATTGTAAAACCAAGTGTTTCGGATCTGCACACATGACTAAACACTTTTCTGTAACACTTTTTAAACGCGCCAAGGCATTTAGAATTTCAATGAAAACGCATCACAGTGTTTAGATTGTAAACACCAGAACATGTTATATTCGCTGTAACACTTTTTAAACACATGAACACGTTTATTCAACACAAAAAAACTGGGGGTGTTATTTTAACAGGGTGTAAAGTGGTTTGCATATTGCATATTTCCCAGCCTGCCTTTCGAGTGAATGTGAGGGATACCCACCCATGACTGTGTTTGTTAGTGACAGAGATTGTTGCATTCAATAAATTATATTCATGAAGCCTTCACCAAGTGACTGCCTAAGTGAATGTGTTTCAATTAAAAGTAAACCCTTTATGACAACATATTATACATGTCACAAGGCCTTTAGTTATGGGCTAGGTATCCTCAACATTGTGGTCTGAAATTCCTGGCTCATGGGCCACATCAGACCTGCCAGTCACAATACGCTGGTTTGTGAAGTGATTAGAGGGAGGATACCCAACAATTTGGATATTGTATCACCCACAACCTCCTCTCAGAGTGACTGCTATGGTGAGGACTTAACAAACAAGACTACCTAAACCATCTAAACTGGAACACCCATGTCCGTAACAGGTGCAATAAGTCCGACCCCTTAAAGATTGTATTAGTTTAGAATTGTTTTAGTTATTTATCTTTGTATAGTATAAGATCAATTAATCAGTCAATGTGCATGAGGAAACAGATATTAAAATAAACTATTCTAAAAATCATCCTGCAACAAAGCATGCTGGGAAATATGATAATGAGGCCCTTCCCACATCTTTTTCACTCTGAGAGAGTTAACAGAAATTATGTCAACATAGCCGAGTAACAACACCACGTGATTGAAAAGATTTCTTGAATCAAATGTCCTGTTCAGTTGTGCTGAAAGGTAGGTAAGGTGACAGACATTCCTAACACTGATCTGAATAAATGGCATGGAAAGTCACATCAATTTCTAATGTATAAATGCACTCCACAATGGGAAAGTAAACACTAGTGTTTAAAATCTGAACACTTAGGAGATATAGGTGTTCTCCTGGTTTGAAACTGAATGGAAAAAGCTGACTATCATGTTTAATCTTGCATTCTAAATGCCTGTGTTTAAGATGAGAACACTTATTGGCAAATCTAAATGCCTAATGTTTAAGTTTTAAACACTGACGTTTAGGTTATAAACATGTCACATGTTTCATGTTTCATGTGTCCACATCACTAAGGAATTATCATGGTCCACACACACCAGCACAGTCGTGAAGAGGGCACGACAACGCCTCTTTCCCCTCAGGAGGCTGAAAATATTTGCCATGGGCACTCAGATCCTCAAAAAGTTATACAGCTGCACCATTGAGAGCATCTTGACTGGCTGCATCGCCGCTTGGTATGGCATCTGCTTGGCATCCGACCGCAAAGTGCTACAGAGGGTAGTGCGTATGGCCCAGTACATAACTAGGGCCGAGCTCCCTGCCATCCAGGACCTCTATACCAGGCGGTGTCAGAAGAAGGCCAAAAAATGTTTTCAAAATCTCCAGCCATAGACCAATAGCTTCCCGGACTATCTGCATTGACGCTTTTTGCAGTAACTCTTTTGACTCATCACATATGCTGCTGTTACTGTTTATTATCTATCCTGTTGCCGAGTCACTTTATCCCTACCTATAAATACATATCTACCTCAATTACCTCGTACCCCTGCAGATGGACTCGGTACTGGTACCCCGTGATATAGCTAAGTTATCATTACTCAATGTGTATTTATTCCTTGTGTTTATATTTTTATATTTTTATATTATTTCATATTTTCTTTGCTCTGCATTGTTGGGAAGGGCCCCTAAGTACATATATTGTTTACAAAGCATGTGACAAATAACATTTGGTTTTATTTGATGGTTTTACAGTGTAGGCTACAGCAATATTTGAATAATATCTGATTCATGGGAGAATATATGCTTAACATGTTTGTATTATTCAAACATAACAGGCACCTAACACATTCCCCATCTGTTGAAACCAGAAAAGCAGGTATGAGGCAGGGCATGTAAACTCATTATAACTCAAGCAGACAATCTACAGCCAAACATAAATGTTGAAAAACAGGTGATAATGCCAGGAGTTGTTCTTTCAGTGCCACAGCACTAATAGCTCATGTGAAAGCACAGTCTCAAAATGCCACTGCTGAAAACAGTGGTATTAAATCCACTACTGTAGGCTATAATTAAATTGTGATTATAAATATGTAGAGTACATTCAGAAAGTATTCAGACGCCTTCACCTTTTCCACATTTTATTACGTTACAACCTTATTCTAAAATTGATTAAATAAAAACATGTTCCTCATCAATCTACACACAATACCCCATAATGACAAAGTGAAAACAGGTTTTTAGAATTTTGTAAAAATGTATTAACATTTAAAAAACAGAAATACCTTATTTACATAAGTATTCAGACCGTTTGCTAAGAGACTCGAAATTGAGCTCAGGGGCATCCTGTTTCCAGTGACCAGCCTTGAGATGTTTCTACAATTTGATTGGAGTCCACCTGTGGTAAATTCAATTGATTGGACATGATTTGGAAAGGCACACACCTGTCTATATAAGGTTACACATTTGACAGTGCATGTCAGAGCAAAAACCAAGCCATGAGGTCAAAGGAATTGTCTGTAGAGCTCCAAGACAGGATAGTGTCGAGGCACAGATCTGGGGAAGGGTACCAAAACATTTCTGCAGCATTGAAGGTCCCCAAGAATACAGTGGCCTCCATCATTCTTAAATTAAAGAAGTTTGGAACCACCAAGACTCTTTCTAGAGCTAGCCGCCTGCCAAACTGAGCAATCGGGGGCGAAGGGCCTTGGTCAGGGAGGTGACCAAGAACCCGATGGTCAATCTGACAGAGCTCCAGAGTTCCTCTGTGGAGATGGGAGAACCTTCCAGAAGGACAACCATCTCTGCAGTACTCCACCAATAAGGCCTTTTATGGTAGAGTGGCCAGACGGAAGCCATTCCTCAGTAAAAGGCACATGACAGCCCACTTGGAGTTTGCCAAAAGGCACCTAAAGACTCTCAGACCATGAGAAAGAAGATTCTCTGGTCTGATGAAACCAAGATTGAACTCTTTGGCCTGAATACCAAGCATCACGTCTGGAGAAAACCAGGCACTGCTCATCACCTGGCTAATACCATCCCTACGGTGAAGGACGTGGTGGCAGCATAATTCTGTGGGGATGTTTTTCCAGAGTGCTCAAAACCTAAGACTTGGGCGAAGGTTCACCTTCCAACAGGACAACGACCCTAAGCACACAGCCAAGACAACACAGGAGTGGCCTTGGGACAAGTCTCTGAATGTCCTTGAACCCGATCAAACATCTCTGGAGATACCTGAAAATAGCTGTGCAGCGACGCTCCCCATCCAACCTTACAGAGCTTGAGAGGATCTGCAGAGAAGAATGGGAGAATCTCCCCAAATACAGGTGTGTAGCGTCATACCCAAGAAGACTCTAGGCTGAAATCGCTGCCAAAGGTGCTTCAACATGCCAAGAGTGTGCAAAGCTGTCATCAAGGCAAATGGTGGCTACTTTGAAGAATCTCAATTATAAAAAATATGTTGATTTGTTTAACACTTTTTTGGTTTGGTTAGTTTTGATGTCTTCACTATTATTCTACAATGTAAAAAAAAAATAGTACAAATAAAGAAAAACCCTTGAATGAGTAGGTGTTCTAACACTTTTGACCAGTAGTGTAAATGTTTAAAATATATATATAACAATAATAAATGAAAATAGGCTAAAATGTAGTCCTACTCTCAGTGTAGAAACAATGCTCTCTAATATACTGCCTGTCTTTTCTTGGTCCTCTACAAAAACCATTATGATTTTGTCCTGTTTTACAGAAATGTTTATTCACCCTAAAACCCATTGTTTTGGGGATGAGAGCAGCTTAAAGAGATGTCCAAGTTGTGGCGAGATCAAAGGAGGCTAGACCTTTCACTTTAAAGTTCGCAATTCCACTTCAATCAATTAACTAGCATGTTCATTGTAGGCCCTAAACGAAATATAGGCCATGCAAATCTGGACATAAAAGGAACCAGACTACTCTGAATGTGTGCTAAAGTTGTAGGCCTTTCTACATGTATATCCTACAGCATAAATATCTGTTTTCTTCTATCAAATTGGATATAGTGACCTCAGGCTAAGATTCGTTTGAGGAAAAGGACCTGATCGTTTCGCAGAGAAAAGGTAATGGACTTTTTATTCGGGCTGCTCGTGCATGGCCTGCAGATCCTCCCCCATGACGTGACTGTAGGCAGCGCAGCTCGCAGGAACTCGAGGACCTGTCCTTTCAGCACCACGTGCAGCTCAGCTCAGCTCATGTTCAAGCTGCAGCAACAGCTGACAGAATGAACTTCAGATACAGTTACATGCACACAATAATGGGATTATTGTGGATAGTCAGGTTAATATAATAGTTCGTTTAATACATGCTTTGCAAGAAGAACGATTTCCGTAATAATCCTGTTTACATCCTGTTACATCTGAAATCAGGCTGATGGGAAATGCAGACAATCGCCAATCAAAAGAAACGCTCTACCACAGTGACAATTATTTTTGTGAAGACTATTTGATTCTAAATTCGGACACATAAAGTTTGTATGTGAAACTATTCACTTGCACATAAGAGGGAAACTTGGCTACCTGGTGCTGGCACATGTGCAGATCAAATACACAGCTGGAATGCCGATTAAACTGTATACATGTCCTAATAATTGGATAGATTGCTCAGAAAACCAGGTGTTTTAATTGGTGTATTCTTACTTCGATTATGACCGTACACCAATTAAGATAAGCAGAGTAAAGTGTTTACATGACTAATGCCATACTCGGCCTTCTGCCATAATCAGTTTAGTATCGAATTATTCGTGTGAATGTAAACATATTGATGCCTCAGTTTTTTTGTGTTGAAGCGTTATCAATCACAACATTTTGTAACCTACCACTTGCACGATCTGTCATTAAATCATGACGGAAATGTAAAGGATTCAAACCTGTTTTCTACAGGGGTAACCAATGCAGATGCAGCAACAGTCGTGCAGTTGAAATGATTATACATGTAGGGCTATCATTATTTGATTTCCAAAAATGTGTTCAAGCCTATCTCAGTGGCGTGGTAGGCTACTCCTAATTTGATGGTGCAATGTGGTGCTCGAGGGAATGGTTGCATACAGTAACCTATAGGACTGCTTTTTTTATGTGTAGGCTACTTATCTTTACTCATTAAATTGATTAGCAGCTGAAATGTATAATGGAAATTGTCCGTTTATCTAGATAGACAGACACATTATTTTGTTGCTACTGATGGTAGTAATGCTGTTTTTATTATCTATAAAGTTGATGTGCAGAAACATTGTGCACAGGTGGCATTTTACTGTTATTGCATCATCATTTTGTTTCGCCTGTTAACATACCAGAGTTATTTAGCTAAAACGACATTTTCTAAAACAATTTATGTTGCATAATGAACAGGTTTTAAGGGTTAATACCGGGAAGTGGGTATAGACTACATGTTGCTGGACTAGGTTTAGTGAAACACTTGTCTGCACAATGCTGTGTTGACTTTAATTCCTTGTGCTATATAGTGGTTATAAGTTATGTAACTATTTAAAATGTAGCCTATTCACCACCCAACATCCACGGCCCTGACTGTGATTAGGCTATAGACTTTATATCACCGCATAAATTACATTATCTTGACACAGTGGTTGTGCGTAATGCTATTACGCAATTAAACCTCCATGGAATGTAGACTGCAGACTCACCTATGGTGGTGATGACTGTGATAGCAAAGTAAAAAGATCCCGCAAATTTCCACTGAACCCCAGCCCTGTGGGGCTCGGCCTCCATAATGATGGTCTCCAGTTTGCGGTAGTCATCCTCGCTAATGTTATATTTCCCTTGGAGACGCTTCTCCTCTGCCTCCAGCTGTTCTTTCTCCCGCATTTCGAAATCTGACTCCAGGGCATCGAACACCGCGGCCCCGACCAGCAGGTACGTGAACGTGCAGATGATCAGGGACAAGGTCCGCACGTTCTGCCGCTTCATGACCACCAGGAACCGGCGAGTGAGGGGCTCATGTCCCCTCGTATCCCCCGGGAAGGCTGCGCAGCAATCGGGAAAGCGTTGGCAGCGGCTGGAAGAGGAGGGACAGACTGGCGCGTGTTGGTGACGGTGGGTGCGCTGGATGGAGGAGCAGTAGTGGAGACTGCTATGTGTGTGATCCCTGTAACAGGTCCCCAGATGCTGCTCCGGGTTCGCAGAGAGACACAGGATACTGCTCGATCGCCGGGACCACGAGCCCTGCAGCCGAGACACTCTGCGCAAAACCTGCCCAAACCAAGTCCTCCCGGCGCGTAGTGCCATCAACAAGCAGCTGCTAGAGTCCTCTGTTGTCTTCTTATCCAAGAGTCAACGTTTTTATAACGAATTCAATTAAACACATTTGGCAAAAGAATGTTCGATTATTTTCGTTGTGAATCTGAAAATGTTTGATGCAGTATTTTCAGCTTGTGTATCATGCATTCCTGGAAGATTTAAAGAGAAGTGAACAGATCCACGAGAGGTTAGATGCGGGTGAAGCATATTTTCGCATTTGCTTCCAGTAAGTTTCAGTAAGCAGCAACCTGTTCATCTCGCTGCCTCATCCTCAAGTGTCAGGCTATTTTTAACAACGAACCATCCCCCCATTCTCACATAATCAATTGGCTGTGTGGAATCCAGAAATACAGCTCAGAAATAGAAGACATCAACCGAAGTAATTTCCATTTGATTCACAATGTGTTGTGTTGAGTCGTCGATAAGACAGAGGGATACATGAGGAGAGCAACACAGCTGAGGATCCGGGAGAAAAAAAGGCTACTCACTCACTTGATTCGCGCTGTGGGGATCTGAACGCAGGCAATGATCAACAAATTAAACCAAACAGAGATGTAACACTGTGCACAGCATAATTTGTGTCCATTGCGCAATTATTTACTACCGATTCCTTTCCTCATATCGGATCATATTGCCATGCTTTATGGTAAAGATAAAACTATCCCAAAACAGTGACTGGAAGAACCACCTCGTGATCAATAAATCAACATTGACAACAGGTTCCATTTCAAATGCTCCTTTCCTAAAATAGTGACGTGGGGTTCTGCCTCAGGACCAAAAGTGCATTGTCACTGCGTAGCCTACTCTAGCAACCAGGAGCAGGCAAACCCGAAATACCCGTATCGTATAGCCTAACTGATAAATGACAGAATTGGAGACTTCACAAAATCCAAATCCAAATCGCGTGGTGACTACCTGCTCAGCTACGCACATCCATGTGCCCTGGAGGCTTGAGCTGATTTCTCCGCGGGCTTCCAATCAACTGGAGTTGAATTAGAAAAAATGTTCGGTTTTTCTTCGTTAGTTGAAGTTACTCGAGGCCATCAATTAACGCTACTTTCAGAGGATAGAGAGACAGAGGCACTTTGATGATGACGCCGAACACTGCGTGTCCTCACAGGCTACTGATGCTGTGTGTGGATTCTTTCTGCATCAAAGTTATCTCCTGTGAGAAGTGTGGCAGCCTAGATCATTTAAGAGACCGTTGCGATCTGATTACGGAGCTGTTCTATTTTAGGACATTCTATTTTAAGACATTCCAATTGTTGAACATGTTTACTTCAATCCGTCTTCCTCCCCAGGGGCATCTCTTAATACCCCCCTCCCCATCTTGTCACCCACCCCTCCCCTCTCCACCCCACCGGCATCGACCACTACCACTCATTATCAATACGAGTTTACTTTCAAACACATGACTACCTCACATATGAATGCTCTGCCAGCCGGGTTAGCCCAAATCCAATGAAACTGTAAGTCGTTGTATGCGCCGGTAGCCAGTAGCTGCTGTCCATGGTGCTGGTTTACAGTCCGGGTTCGCATGCATGTCCACTGGAAGGACTAGGGAGCACCGTGTTGCAGTAGAAGAAGGCATCCATCTATGGAGATGGGTGTTCAAAGAAAACATATCTGAGGAAAATATTGTTCAGGTGTCAATTCCTCCTGTTATTTTTCTGTAATTCGTTATGGTGTAAGTCTATATAGCCTTGATTGTGTAATTAACAATTCAAATATTGTAACAACATTGCAGATTCTGAATTTCAGTTTAAATTAATTACACTGAGCAAAAATATCAATGCAACATGCAACAATTTCAAAGATTTTACTGATTAAAAGTTCATATAAGGAAATCAGTCAATTGAAATAAATGCATTAGGCCCTAATCTATGGATGTCACATGACTGGGAATATAGATATGCATCTGTTGGTCACAGACACCTTAAAAAAAAGTTAGGGGGGTGGATCAGAGAAACCAGTCAGTATCTAGTATGACCACAATTTGCCTCATGCAGCGCTACACATCTCCTTTGCATAGAGTTAGTTGATCAGGCTGTTGATTGTAGCCTGTGGAATGTTGTCCCACTCCTCTTCAATGGCTGTGCGAAGTTGCTGGATATTGGCAGGAACATACTGTTGTACATGTCGATCCAGAGCATCCCAAACATGCTCAATGGGTGACAAGTCTGGTGATTATGCAGGCTATGGAAGAACTTGGACATTAACAGCTTCCAGGAATTGTCTACAGATCCTTGCGGCATTATCATGCTGAAACATGAGGTCATGGCGGCTGATGAATGGCACGACAATGGGCCTCAGGATCTCGTCACGGTATATCTGTGCATTCAAATTGACATCGCTAAAATGCAATTGTGTTCGTTGTCCGTAGCTTATGCATGCCCATACCATAATCCTACTGCCACCATGGGGCACTCTGTTCACAACGTTGACATCAGGAAACCGCTCGCCCACACAACGCCATACACACTGTTTGCCATCTGCACGGTACAGTGGAAACCGGGATTCATCTGTGAAGAGCACACTTCTCCAGTGCCAGTGGCCATCGAAGGTGAGCATTTGCCCACTGAAGTCGGTTACTGCAGTCAGATCAAGACCCTGGTGAGGATGACAAGCACACAGATGAGCTTCCCTGAGACGGTTTCTGAAAGTTTGCCCAGAAATTCTTAGGTTGTTCAAACCCACAGTTTCATCAGCTGTCCGAGTGGCTGGTCTCAAACGATCCCGCAGGTGAAGAAGCCGGATGTGTAGGTCCTGGGCTGGTGTGGTTACGTGTGGTCTACGGTTGTGACGCCGGTTTGACGTACTGCCAAATTCTCTAAAACAACATTGGTAGAGAAATGAATGTTCAATTCTCTGGCAACAGCTCTGGTGGACATTTCTGCAGTCAGCATGCCAATTGCACGCTCCCTCAACACTTTAGACATCTGTGGCATTGTGTTGTGTGACAAAACTGCACATTTTAGAGTGGCCTTTTATTGTCCCCAGCATAAGGCACACCTGTGTAATGATCATGCTGTTTAATCAGCTTCTTGATATGCCACACCTGTCAGGTGGATGGATTATCTTGGAAAAGGAGTAATGCTCACTAACAGGGATGTAAACAAATTTGTGCACAACATTTGAGAGAAATAGGGCCTCCCGAGTGGCGCAGCGGTCTAAGGCACTGCATCGCAGCGCTTGAGGCGTCACTACAGACCCGGGTTCGATCACAGGCTGTGTCTCAGCCGGCAGTGACTGGGAGACCCATGAGGCGGCGCACAATTGGCCCAGTGTCGTCCGGGTTAGGAGAGTTTTTGGCCGGCCGGGATGTCCTTGTCCCATCGCACTCTAGTGACTCCTTGTGGTGGGCTGGGCACCTGCAAGCTGACTTCGGTCGCCAGTTGTATGGTGTTTCCTCCGACACATTGGTGCGGCTGGCTTCCAGGTTAAGCGGAGTAGTGTGTCAAGAAGCAGTGCAGCTTGGCAGGGTTGTGATTTGGAGGACGCATGGCTCTCGACCTTTGCCTCTCCCGAGTCCGTACGGGAGTTGCAATGATGGGACAAGATTGTAACTACCAATTGGATATCATGAAAAAGGGGTAAAAGTACCAAAAACTATTTGAGAGAAATAAGCTTTTTGTGCGTATGGAACATTTCTGGGATCTTTTATTTCAGCTCCTGAAACATGGGACCAACACTTTACATGTTGTGTTTATATTTTTGTTCAGTGTAGTTTACCTGAGACCTAAGGCCTTGCATTAGCTGCACAAAATAAGCTTTAGCTCTACAGGCTAACAGTCTGGTGGTGTGCATATTTTATTTGTATTCAGTGTATCTTTTAACATGGTGAACTGATCATTCCAAGGAGTAGATATGCCTATCAACCCATATCTCACACACATCCCTCTTTATCCAACAATAATAGATGACAAAACCTTTATTGGATTTCAAACTGTGGAAATCTTATCAAAGTAAATGATCTACAGGATTCACATAGGATCACAGGTTTCACATTCTCAGGATCAATATTTTGTCAGAAAAAAAAAACTGCTATACTCTGGTCTGATGTCAGTTTTATTTGTATGGAGGACAGACCTCAGAGTGCACCCAACCCACTCACTGTAATCAAGGGCATGTAGTGCCAATCCTTCAATAGACTCTGACTCTATAATTTAGCATTTTGTCTTTTGAGAGAAGTGTGAACTTAAAATCCCCTTGAACTTCATTAAGCATACTTGAATAGGCTCAACTGTCAGTTCTATGCCTTCTACTGGCTACTAGTCTATGCCAGATGGCCAGCCCTGCTCCTAGAGAGATACTGGGTGTGCAGGGGTTTGATCTAGCCCAACTCCATAATATCTGATTCAGCTAATCAAGGTCCTGACAAGCAGCTAATTTGTAGAGTCAGGTTTGTTAGAGTAGGACTGGAGCAAAAACCTACTGAAGGGCTATACTATAGCTCCCCAGGAATAGGGTGACTGACTACACCCTGGTAAATTTTTACCATCGTTTGAGAGTCACTTGCATGAAAACGATTAATGAGTCCCTCAAAGTTTATTACGTTAAGTGCCCTTTACAGTTTAATTAGCCCAGAATGCTTTCTATTGTAAGTAACTGATGGGTAGCACAACTATCTGTCCTAAACCTCTCCCTCAGAGTCAACAAAATTAAGGAGCTGATCATGGACTACCGGAGACAGCCAAGAGAGCATGCCCTCATCCACATTGATGGGGCCGCAGTGGAGAGGGTCAAAAGCTTCAAGTTCCTCGGCATGCACATCACTGACGAGCTGAAATGGTCCCTTCACACGACAGTGTGGTGAAGAAGGCGCAACAGCGCCTCTTCAACCTCAGTAGGCTGAAGAAATTCAGCATGGCCCATAAGACCCTCACAACTTCTACACCATTAAGAGCGCCCTGTCGAGCTGTATCACCGCCTGGTATGGCAATTGCACCGTCCACAACCGCAGGGGTGGTGCAGTCATCCCAACGCAT